GAACTCAAGACTCATCACCTGTGACAATTCAAGCTAGCATACTGTGTCCTTCATCGAGGTAGCGACTGAGATGCTGCAATGCCAAACCCATTCTTTGCATTTTGTGTTGTGGGGTCAGCATGCACAGTGCCCATTGTGCAGAGACTTTGTGAGAACCTCACCTATCATGCAGTATGAGGTAGGCCATGCCGTATGAACATGCCTGGTTCTGACAGCAGCCCAAAGAATTTTATGCTGCTGGTTTTCAGGGGCTTGTGAAACAATGGGACAAGTGCCTCAATGTACAGGGAGATTATGTTGAGAAATAAAAGCATTTTTCATATCAGTACCCTTATTTAAGTTCTATATCCATTTGTAACTTACCTATTGACTTACCTACATATATATAGAACTTCCAAATGAGAGTAGGGCAACATTAACCACAAAATTAAATTCTGAGCTCTTCTTGGTATAGGAATGAACACTATTCTGTACATTTTAGAGACATCTACACCAGAACTGTCCATCTCTTTTATTTTTCTTACTGGCAACATATTATTTTATGTAATTAATTTATAAGTTATTGTCTGCTTTAATAACTCATCATGCGGGGGAAGAGGAACAGGAATGCAAATGTGATTTTAGTACAAAAGCCAGAAGGAAAGATACCACCATAAAGACCTATATTTAGATAAAAACTGTGCTTGAGAAAAAGGATGGGGTTGCATGGAATAGAAGAATATGGATCAGCATTGTGACCAGTGTGAAATCAGTACTAAACTTTTGGGTTTCATAAAAGTTTGGAAATTCTTGAGTGGTTGAGTAATTGGTGATGCTTCAATGACTCAGTTCCATGTAGTTATTTAGTTTAATAACCCACACATTTTGTCTAATGATTATAGACAGAAGAATCATGGACAGATGACATATGCTGTATCTGTACCTCTAGGTTTAAATAAGGTAATTTATCTGAAAGTAAAACAGCAACAGACAAAATTGAAAAAGTCTAACATTTTGGCTGCATGAGTATTGGTTCATATTACTAAAGCCAACACCATTTACCTTCAGTCAGATATTAGACTCATGGGCATGGGTGGACACTCACAGTTCAAATATTTGGAAACGATGGTCACAAAGCAAAACCTGATTCAGGAGGAAATTAAGAGCAGATTGTACTCAGGTAATGCTTGCTACCATTCGGTCCAGAACTTTTGTCTTGTTCTCTGCTGTCCAAAAACATAGAAATTAGAAAATACATGTACAAAACTATAATTTTGCTTGTGGTTCTGTATGGGTGTGAAACTTGGTCTATGACATTAAGGGAGGAACATAGACTGAGGGTGTTTGAGAACAGGGTGTTGAGGAGAATATTTGGGCTGAAGAGAGATGAAATGATGGGAGGATGGAGAAAACTGCATAATGAGGTGCTTCATAACATTACTCTTCTCCAAGCATAATGCGATTGATCAAGTCAAGGAGGATGAGGTGGGCAGGGCATGTAGCAGGAATGAGGGAGAAAAGGAATGCATATAGGATATTGGTGAGAAAGCCAGAGGGAAAGAGACCACTGGGAATACAAAGGTGTATGTGGGTGTACAATATTAAAATGGAACTCAGAAAGATAGAATAGGATGGGATGGGATGGATTGGATTTATCTGGCTCAGGATAGGGACCAGTGGAGGGCTCCTGTGAACAAGGTAATCAACCTTCACGTTCCATAAAATACTGGAAAATCCTTGAGTAGCTGCACAGTTGGCAATTTCTCAAGAAGGGCTCAGCTCCATGAGTGAGTGAGTGTAGGTAGACACCAGTGTTCCAGAGGAAAACACTGCCTCAGTTTTCAGGGTACAAATGTAAAGTGTTGTGTTACATAGGCAGGTTAGAAGGAACATGTTCCTCAGACCTAGACAGGGATGAAGCCCAGTCTGCACCAACAGATGAAGATACAGGAAAACAGCCCTTGTCAAGGCCACAATATTGTTTTTACCATGGGGGAGATGGAACTGTGAAAAACGACACCCCATTCCAGGGCCACAACATTATTTTTCATCACAGCAGGGGAAAGGAATTGTGAGTAAAGACGGCCCTTTTCAGGGACCTTGTGGACAGGAAGTGAGACATCAGAATTTTTTTCCCAGGTCACACGTGAAGGAGGATGTAAGTACACTATTCTCCTTTTTTTTTTCTTCATGGACAACCTGAAGATATAGTGTCTTCATTTCTACGCATATCCCTTAGAATAAATTACTGAGTTTGAATTTCTAATATGCTGTTAATAGAAAAATTATCAAGATACTACTCTGCTTCATTTATCCATTTTAAACATATTGTATTAAGTTTGTTCCATCTTACTACATGTGATCAATCACGTTCCATAATATGATGCATTCCAAATCATGTTAAATTACTCCTACATCACCTGATGCCTACGACTGACATAAAGTCTGTGATGTCAAATATTGCTATGAAGTACAGTTTGTGTACTGCAACATCAGGATGTGTATAATTTGCAGAATTCTGATCACACCACATTCATTGTCCTTATACAAGCAAGTATGATGACACCACGCAGTCCCTGGTATCTTTACATGTACCACAGATGACATAAAGTTCAAGGGGAACAAAGAACTATAGCAATCATATTTTGAGCCAATATGCTCCAGCATGAAGATTATATTTGGGCATATGCAATAATCAGGTTGAACTGAAAATTATTATTGAAAAAGGTTGTATGTAGCATAAGTATATATATATATATAATATTTTTTAGGATGTGCACAATACATGACACACTGCAATATGTTATTGTCATGAATCAGATGTATTACTTTGCAGTGTTAATTGATACATTATTCCAAGATATAAGTCTGAATACAAAGTTAAAATAAAATCATAACTATGTAATAATATCATAAGACTGGGAGACCAAATTTCATATACAGGTATCCTTTGATTTCCAAAGCTAATTTGTTTCATGAAAACTGAAAACTGTTCATAGGGTAAAATCCTATTTTGTACAATTGTCAACAATACAACTTTAAAAGGACATTAGGTATATGTTGTTCACTAAAAATGCATTTTAATACTATGACAGTTCAAATCAATAAAATGCCCGTAGGCCTTTACATAGTACATAAATTTATACATTAAAAGCGAATGTTCACACTCCTCAAATTGTCTTGGTTTTACATGTATTTTACTAATTTATATTCACAGCATGTTTCGGCCTCATTGGGGCATCATCAGGTGAATTCTATCCTCGAGTGAGACCACTGCACTGTATTTGTTTCCCATGCTTCTCTCCTGCACGTCGTTATTTACTTCATGCTGGCTGTTAAATTTCATTTTTATCCAGCTATTTTGCATGAAGTAAAATAACGACATGCATGAGAGAAGCATGAGAAACAAATACAGTGCAGTGGTCTCACTCGAGGACAGAATTCACCTGATGATGGCCCAATGAGGCCGAAACATGTCGTGAATATAAATTAGTAAAAATACATGTAAAACCAAGACAATTTGAGGAATGTGAACATTCACTTTTAATGTGTAAATTTATGTACTACGTAAAGGCCTACGGGCATTTTATTGATTTGAACTGTCATAGTATTAAAATGCATTAAAGTGAACAACATATTCCTAATGTCTTTTTAAAGTTGTATTGTTGACGGATATGTTAGTACAAAATAGGATGATGCCTCAATACAATGGGATGCTGAAATATAACACAGGGTAAAAATTCATAAGTACAAAATTAAATTTCCACATAATTTACATGTAAAAGTCGCCAAACTTACAAATGTAAGCTGCTTTTTGTATATCAAGTGTTCGTAAAATGAGAGATACATGTACTGATACCATGATTTACATTCACTGCTAAATGGTAACTGTGTCAACACTGGCATCCCCCAGTGTACATATATGATGTGTGAATTCCCAACAATTGAAATTTTGTCCCAGATATCAGTAAAGTTATAAATGGAGGTTGATAACCTGAAAATATGCTTAATTTCATATTAAATCACTAAAAAGAATTAGAGTAACTCAAAATCGCAAAAGTGAAGAAATACCTATAATCTTGTTTTCCTTTTTTTAATTTCTGTAATTTCGCAGACATAAGATCTCTTTTCACCTCCCATGAACAATACTTAGCCTCTGTATGGCATGTAGTGACCAGATCACTTTGGGGTGCTTGAACTATATCAAACATGTATATTTATGCTCATGAGCAGACGGTTCCATGGCAGAGTTCAGCACTTAAAGTGTAAACGTTCAAGAAGTCCTAGAAGAGGACAGCTAATCAACAGCCATAACTGTCTATTCCATAGGGATTCTGACATCACATATAACAAGTACTTTCAATATCAAAATCACTTAACTTTCATTTTCCACTATCATCATAGGCTGTACAAAATAGTATAATTGTTAAATCTAAATCCAATATACAAATTTAAAATTAAAATAGAAATACATTATGTAAAACTTACATATGAGTAATATATTTATGTGGTAGATATCAAAGAATATAGGGATATAAACGTCATAATATATGAGTGTAACAAGATGTCTTCAATAATTCATTGTGCAAATACAGTAACAGTCTTGAAAACCACCCCATTGAAAACTGGCTCTCTGTTTACATCTTTTGCATATTTGAACGAACAGTCAAATTTGAAAGTTAATGTACCCACACCTGCCATGTGCTCAGTCATGCTGACTGGCATGTTACCACTCTGAACCAGTCTACATTGATTGGCTGATACATATCCACACTAAAACTCATGCTTCTTTTGTTATTTTTAAGAACTCCAGAAAGAAGACAGAACCTCAAAGAAAATGTGCAGCATGTACAAAACACAGAAAATAAGAGAATATATTTATTGGCATAATGAATGTGAAGCAGGTTGTGTTTAAATTGGATGTTCCAAGACCTACCACACAAACCTCAACGTCTAGTCCAGTTGTTTCCATTGCTAATATACAGCACATTCATGTCATAAAGCAGGCTAATAAATCAATCTTTTCCAGTGATTCCAGTGAAAATTTAATTAGTATACCTCATAGTTCAGAAGTTATGAAAAAATAAAATATTTTAGAACAAGAATTAAATGGGCTTTTAAAAATTATTACCATGGGCCACTCACGACTACAGTATTTAAATGTTCATGCCTAAGGATTAATACAATTATTATGTGAACTATCCATATAAATGTTCATCAAGCAGATATTTGCACTAAAAGCTTCTCAGGCAATCATCCAGGTTGAGTTAAGAATGAACATTGAAAGGTCTTCCATGTCTCCAACACCAGGTTGACCCTGATCCATGAAAATGTAAAAACAAAGTTATCCATATCTTTAATTAAGCATCATTCCATGAAATTGTACTGACAAAATGGCAGTGCAACTTCATATGTTATTAGTCTCAGTATCATACGGTGGTGAATAGTCGGCTTGATGCACCAACCACTTTATTCCTGGAGAAGAAGACACTGCTCTCCACTGGACAGGATGCTCTGTGAGTCCCAAGGCCAGCCTTGAAATGGTGGCAATGAGAAAAGTCCTGCCTCTACCGGGAATCAAAGCCTGGTCATACACCCCCAACATAAAAAACATTCAACTTCAGAGTCTCACTGTAAAAAAATGTCTCTTGCTCCAAAGCTCTATAAAATATCTTGAAAGTAAACAAGGAAATAAATTTTAAAAAATTAATTTAAATTTTTGTTGAACATTTCTGACATACAGGACTATTTGTGTAAGTCCAGAATCAGTGCTGCTCAGCTAATTCAGTATATTGTAACACCATGCATGAGTTTGAATAAAAATAAACCCCTTCTGTACCAAATTTGTTGCTTCCAAAGTACCTGATTGTGACCAAATCAAATAATTAATTAGCTTAGGATCAAAATTACAGAAGGGATGAAAAAGAAATAACAGACACAGCAAACAGGAAGTGTAATGATGATTAGAACATCAAAATCAGACATCTACCATATCATGAGAGAGAAAGCCACCCATACCAGCCGTTACAAATGACTAAATTCAATAGAAATTCAGAATGAAATAGTGAAAGTGATACACATATCCCTCTATCAACATACGATGTCCTCTCAACATCAGTTACAAGGGGCATCCTCTCCACATATACGTTGCAATGAGTTTGCATGAGGCACCACTTAATAGTTTGCCAATGACCACAGGCTTTCACATCTGCATGTGCACATTGCTTGTATATAATAATAATAATAATAATAATAATAATAATAATAATAATAATATAATAACAATAACAACAACAACAGACAAAAGTAAAGTTGTCTATGTGCCCAAGGTATACCTCCCCTATTGCTAATCTTAGCACTAGATAGAAGTGATGGGTCAGCTTCATGCCCTGGCTGCTTTACCTCCAGCAAAACACCCCATGATACCCATTGGAAAGGAGGCTGGGTGGATCCCAGAGATGTTCTGGATGTGGTGGTGAAGACAAACCCTCTTGCTTCTGTCAAGAATCAAATCCCAACTGCCCACTTTTCCAGCCTGCAGCCTAGCAGCTATACCAACTGAAATATACCAGCTCCTAACAATAATAGAACAGAAGTAGAAGGTAGAAATATTACACTAAGACATGAAAAATGGACTTGTTATAAGTTTATAAAAAACTGATAACTCCAGAACAATTAGGAAAAGAATAAACGAAAGTTAGTATCTTAATACAGAGTAGAGAGTTACATGCAATGACATACATGATATGCAATCCAATAAACTACACAACCAGCACCTACATAATTAAATTTTAATTAATTTGCTTTATATGTAAATAGTATAACTCTGTTACATAAAACAGTGTTTATATGAAGACAGTAACTGATATATATCACAAGGGAATGGACATTTATTTTTAAACTCAACTGTACCAAAAATGGAACAGTCAATAGACATTGTAAATGTTATACAAATTAACCCACGTGATCGTGGTCTTGTGGTCAAATCATTGTGGCAGAGAAAATATGTGAAAATACATTGTTTGCTTATGTGATGGTATAAAATCTATATTGATAACATAAATTGGATGAAGAATATCAAATACAACTGTTACTTTAACTTAATCTGTGGTTACTCTTATATACCCCATAATTTCAAGATACAAGTATGTTAATATTACCAGCCAGGCTCACTCTTTCCATAATACCCATTCTACTTCAATTTATCAAAGAACAGCTTCAAGTTTAATACTGCAGAATTATTTCGTAGAAATTGATCAACAACATTCCGCACACAGGTGAGAGTCAATGTAATAATGCAAACATAACCATAGCAATTGATCCATAATGTGTATTATTGTCAAGAGAGTTGTTGCTTGGTGCTACTTGGTATTGCGTGACATTAAAGCAAGCAGGAAAAGAAACTGGCTTCCCACAAGAGATTCACTGCTGAAGACAGGTAGACACTGCAGCAAGACCTGCACTTCCTTCAGTGCATGATATGTAGGTGCAACCTATTGAATCAACACAAGGAGACATTATTGCAGATAATGGCCTGGCCTTTATAGTAATGCTTGGGAGTCAAAGTACACACACAAACACAGGATCTGATTCCACACTACATGTTTGCACTATATTTGAAAAAAACATTATAAATCAAATGTGTAATATAAAATCACATCGATTCTACAAAGTATAGGAAGTGGTTTAAATGATAGGCAGTCTCATGACATTTTTATGTAGGCTTTTCATAACTTTCCTGTATTTTTATTTTCATTTTATTTAATTACTCAAGATTATATAGTGTCAAATGATAGTTTTAGTCCATAATGAATTGGAAATGATGTGGAATTAGTGGTGACCTAATTAAAGCTGCTATTTCAGCACCTGCCTCAAGGAACTGAGAAAAATCATTAATACATTTATCAGGATAGCCAGTCCTTTGTCAAGGTAGCCAGCCTCTGAGCTCACATTTGAATGCATAATGAGTATATATGAGTGATAACTATTCATTTGCAACATTCAGTAGCATTCCTATAGTTTTCGAAGTTCAAGAGCAGGAGAACATCTCTCGGTGATTTATTTAATTTGATTGGGGGGGGGAGTCCAGTTGGGTCCATTCGGCACGGCGGCCACTGATTGGCCTATTATAGCCTGCTTCAGGTGACTATGATGATGGAGAATTTGGTGGAAAGAAGATTGGCAGGGGAAACCGAAGTACTCAGAGAAAACCCGCCTCAGTGCCACTTTGTCCACCACAAATCCCACTTGACCAGACCCCGGGATCGAACCCAGGCCACCATGGTGGGAACCTAGCGACTAACCGCTTGAGCTATGGCGTGGCTTATCTCTTGCTGATTAGAACAGGGGCAGCAAACAACTGCATGTGTGAATGAGGAAAACACCACGTGTGGTAACCACAATAAAATGTAATTAAGCCCCACCCCATGGAAATCCATGGGGTGTGATGGTATATCTCCAGAGACACTTAACCTTGGCACTACAAGGATGTGCACAGTAGCTTCATGCCCTAGCTGCTTTATCCTTGCAGAAAGAGCACCTGGAACCCATTGTCTGGCTGGATCCTAAAGTCACCCTGCGGATAAGAGAAAAACCTCTTGTCTCTGCCAGGATTTGAAACTAAACCTCTCAGTCATTATACTTATGGCTTATCCAGGCTGTATCATGTAGGACACTACAGACAGATATAGAGTTATCAAGGTAAAATCAAATATTAATTTGTAAAGTATCTGCACCATCTTCCGTGGGAGAAAGGTCGCGTGTCATGTATAAAGTCAAGAAGTATTAGACAGATGATGGTTGTTGCCTTATTTTTAATAATATTCATGCGACTAACACTACATTGCAAACTCTATGTATTATTACTGCACAATTATATATAACAACTTTACTGACTTAATTGATTGACAACCTTCAAGAAATGTGGTCATGAATACTTCTGTTTTTCACTACAAAAATACTTCCAAACACAGGGAATTCCAATCAATTTTGTGCTGCAGCACAGCTACTTCCATATAAAGAGTATGTTCCGACCTGGATTCATGAAACCTTTTCTAGTTTCAAACAAAGAATAGCATCCAAGATCAATTTAAAGCTCTGAAAACATCAGATGGAGGTATGTTCAGTAGTTCCATAATGCACTGCTTCTGGAGCTGCTTCAGGAGGAAGGAACATTGCATAGAATGAGCTGATAAATGCATTTAAAAAATTTAACTGCTGAAATAAAATACTGTGGTCCAGACAAGCTCTGGGGGTCAGCCAGCCTCCTATCCAATGGGTATGGGTGGGGTGGGGGGCTCTTTCACCAGGGGTAAAGTGGCCAGGGTGTTAAGCTGAGCACTCACTTCCATCTAGTGCTGAGGTTAAGGATGATGGAGCTATACCTTTACTCCTCCATATGTCTTAATGACATGGTGCTTAATTAACTGAGCACAGGGATAATTTCACCTGTTTATATTATTTGTGTCTAGTGCCAGATTTATGTATATGCTTACAAGCTTGCAATCTGAGAGGCCTCCAAAATAGGGAAAGTAAACTAAAAAAGTAACTTCTCTTTGTGACCACGTGTTAGTATTAGCTCACTGCCAGAAATTTCTAATTCCTCAGAAGGAAAAAAGCTATACTGCAAAATATCTATGTAAAAAGATTTGTCTTACCTTGCTTTCCTCATGTAAATATTACAGGACTTTCCAAAGAATCACAATTGTTATCAGCAGCAATGAAAGGACTGGAGTGGGAACAGCACCAAATGCAGTATTCATTGGTACATCTGCTAAAAAATCACCTGTGGGACTCGGTTCATCTAGGCACTCAAATTCACAGCACCTTTCTCCTGCTCGGAACCTCTTACAAAACTATAAAACATAATTACATATCTTGATAAGTAATCCAAACCAACCACACTCCAAAGTATGAAGCTATATGATACACACAATCTTGTAGGAACTAATTTTAATACACAATCTTAAAAATAAAAGGTCACATTTAATGAACATGGCTATTAATGTGATTTCAAAAATCATGACTACATCCTTTGCCCTACAAACACACATGGTGGACTGGGAATCGCTGGCAACAGACTTCATTTAGGTAAGAAGAAAGCACTGTTGATTTATTTGCATGCCTTTTATATACATAACCTTATGTAAAATAATCAAAGTGAAGTCTCTTATACAAAATTCAACAATTTTATTACAAACCTGGAATTCAACTTATAATGAAACTAAAATGTACTCAGTACAGGAGCTTAATTTCAAATTTGAGGGATATCATAACTTCAAGCATTGCATCTCAGATACTGCTGCCTACAAGGGAGCACTTCATACATGTAAAATGTGGAACATAGCAGATTTGATAAATATGTATATGGCTTAAATATCAATTTGTAATGCTTTGGTAACACTATTTGCAATTAAATTATTATGTTACTTTTGAAGTGTGTATACATTATGTACAAATTTTAATAAATTAAATTGCAATGTATGAATGTTATATTCTATAGACCTTACATTCTTTCACCAGTAAATATAATCATTATCGTCTTCTAGCATGTATCACTGTGTAGTTGGATAGATACGAGTAAATACCAACACTACAATGGAATCTATCTACCAAACTGCACAGCATCACATTACACAACACTGTAATCTTAACAGCACTCTGTACATTTGAAATTTCATTATGAATCTTTTGCACAAAGTGGATAAATGGAAGCATAATGTAGAGATTTTTTTTTCCTTGGCACTACAGCCCCAGTCAGCCTAGGCCTACCTCCATGAACTCCATTCACTTTGGTTTTTCTAGATCTTACACATAGGGTAGGACTCCTTGGGCGAGTGATCAGCTCGTCGCAAGGCCTCTACCTGTAGACAAACACAGAAAAACACACACAAACATCCATGCCCTGAGTGGGATTCGAACCCACGATCCCGGCTTCTGAGCGAGCGAAGACAGTGCATGCCTTAGACCGCTCGGCTACCGTGACCGGCGTAATGTAGAGATTATTTCCACCCATCTATCCATCTGCATGTGACATCTCTCTGATACAAACTGCTCAGTAGTTTGCAATTAAATTTTGTACTGGGGGCCTACACCAAAAATTGTTTAGCATATTCTATTTTTATGCATATTACTCAATCATAACTCTTACTTTACATGATACCTAAACTGAATGCTATCGGAATTAAAAAAAAATTAGTTTTTCACATAATATACAGATCTCATTGAAGTCTGTAAGTTTTGAACATTACTGCCTGTTGGAATGTAATGCCATGCAGTTTGTTAGACAGGTACCAATGTTTCAGAGGAACCTGCTGCTTCCTTCTTCAGTGAAGAAGGCCCTTTGCAACATTGGTAACAATCTACAGAACAAAACAGAGTCACATGCCAGGAGACAGTAATATTTACACTTGCTGCCATGAGAACCTCAAATATCACATTTGAAATATGATTATAAAACTGAATAACCAACCAACAAATACACATTTGACTTAATTTCCAACTTCAAGATGTACAGGAAGACACAGTGGCATAACTAGTGTTTCCCAAGAGTTGTAACTGTCACCTCAGTAATTAAGACTGATGGACACTCAAAAGCTATGGAGCAATTTGTACTGATGAATTCATAATCTGAGTAGGTTGCCTCACAAATTGAGCCAAATTGTACTTAGGCAGAGAAGAACGCAGTTACAGCAACTTAACAGACTGCATCACAATTAACATTCAGCCAGAAAGCCATGATGCTGTCCTTTAGATGTCAAGGCTATAAGGAAGGTGTGGGAAGTCCCTTACTTTTAGTGCAATCTGCCAACTCAAATGTGGACCACTAAGAAAGTTGGCTCCAGTGGTAATGCTTGAGATTTGTATTTGAGAGATGACAGGTTCAGATTTCAGTTGGGACACCTACTATCCTGGCAGGTGATCATACTTTTCTTTCCTTCCAGGCAAATGCTGGGATAGTATTTGCAATTAGGCTATGAATGCTTCCTACCACAATTCCTTCTGATCACCAACCATCCTAACATCTGATGGTATACAGTGGTTAAATAAAACATGAATAGACAAGAGAACCTGAATGGAATAGAAAATCGGTTTCTTTAGTGTGCCTCAGCAGATTAGTCACATGAATTCTTTAACCTGAAACTATGTCATTAACACCATATTAGTTTCCAGAACCACCCCACACCATGCATGACACTGCACATCATATTGAAAGACAATATCAATATATGATTAAAAGCTTATATGTTTCTTCTGAAGGATTAAATTTATTTTGTTTGCAATGAAAATCTCCCTAATATTATTCAGTGCTGATACTCAAAATTCCAGTTCCCCTCATAAAATTTTACTTCTAAAACATATGCTTCTTTAAGAAAAGATTCTCAAGATTTTTGGTGCTTATGCCCAACAATATTACACCAAGCAAGAGCAGTGAGATTCTTAATACTTTTAGTCAGGAGCATGGGTGCTACAGGAGAGGAGGAGGGAGCAAGGCAACCCCCTCCCAGGATTGTTGAAATCCCGTATTAAAACTAAACAAGAAATTCTGGGAAGAACTAACTGTCTACTTTCCTTTGATACAACATGGACCACAGAGAAAACGAAAAAACGGAGCAAGGGGAATATATAGATAGCAAAGTGTTCTCACAAGCCTCCTAGTATTTCTTCAAAATAAATAAAGTAGTATTAAAACGAATTAAATTTAGCAAATACTAATACCAAAATTAAAATTATTAAAAAAATAATTTTCTATCTAAAGTATTCTAGGTGAAGGCATAAAAATGATCTTTAATAGCTTAAATACAAGTTTGCAAACAAATTTTCTTGCTTCCTTCCTGGAGGAAATCATGACAGAGCCCATCATCAGGAGAGGCATGACCATATTTCAGCTATTCTACTGGCTCTCCTGACTTAAGTGAGATTTACATGTCTTGGAAATTCCAAATATTGCTACAGAATCACTAACAGAAGGGTAGGCTGTGAGAACTACAGGGACTGTAGATCACAAAGAAGGGGCAGAAAGGATGTTTAACAAGTATATTGAAGGGATAAAAGGGTGTAGATGTTTCCATTTGTATACACTAGTACAAAAATATTGGTAATTTTCTGTATGGCTAATACAGACTCGTTGTTTACATTCTCTAAAGAATGGACAATACTTTGTAAGATGTGGCACCAACTAATAATTAACATTAATATTACTACATCTACATCACGAGCCTCCAAAACAGTTTATTATATATATACAAAATATAGAATACTCCAATTTGTCCATGTGAACACAACAAAATCACAAAAACCAACAACTGACATGACGATATTATATTTAAGCATCCTGTTACACTCTACACAATATATGACACAAACTCCATCCTAAGAGCAACAATTTATTGTAGTTCTTTCGTCTTCCTTTCTTCTACGCTACGTGTTTCAGCTGTAAATTGCCATCATCAGGTGTATACTCTCACGTAGCTGCCACACTGCATGTAGTTTAAAGTTTAAAAAACACCCGTCTTCCCAATTGTTCACTTCTCTGTTGCTAACAGGTTTCGATATATCAGAATCCCCCCCGAACACAGGGAGCCTACACAGAATAATACCTGAACAGTGCTGAAAACAAGAAGTAGCCGCTGCAGCATTATAGACATAGGGCGGGTACCCTGAGAATTTCAAACTTTAAAGAAATTTTTAAATTTGAATTGAAGATTTTAAAAGTGCCAGTTTTTGAAAATCAAATTGACGTGTGTAGGTTAACAAAGATTTTGTACATATCTGACAGATATCAGCGGGGAGGATTCTGATATATCGAAACCCGTTAGCAACGGAGAAGTGAATTGGGAAGACTGGTGTATTTTAAATTTGTTAAATTTTAAACTACGTGCAGTGTGGCACCTGATGATGGTCATTTACGGCTGAAACATGTAATGTAGAATAAAGGAAGACGAAAAAACTACAATACATTTGTACTACGGAGTTTGTGTCATATATTGACTCGATGATGTAAAGCATCACTTGAAGAATTTTATTCTTCTTTTATACTATAACGTTTGTTTTATATAATCTAATTTATTTTATTTTTATGCTAAGTATTCTAATATAATTAATATTATTGTATCCAATTTTATTAGTACTGCAGTTCAGTGGTGTATATATGTTAGCCATGTAGTTGCCTGATGATGGCTTCCAAAGCAGAGCCAAACTGGGCACTGACCTTCATATAGTTGTGTTATGACAGTTTTAATAAAGAAATTGCAAAAATATAAGCTTGACCATCTCATGTTTTTTTTTGTGTGTTTGTTTCTTTCCCCATTTATTTGCACAGCATTCCCTTTGCAGTATAGGTATTTTATGCATGTGATTTGTGCAGCTCATAAGGATGTTGATGTAGTGTTATTTTCAATTTTGTTATGTATGAATCTCTGGCCACAGGTGCTTCCATGCTGCCAGAGTAGTTGTGTTGCTAACTGGTCTGTGTATGTGTATGTAAATATTTTGACAAAGAGTACAAGAATTTTAGCAAAATAGACAACACCTGATGATGGCCATATACAGCCAAAATGTATAGTGAGAAAAAAGGGTGACTAATGAATAAGTTGCATTTAAGATGGAAATATACGTGAAATAAATGATAAAACTTGGTTTCTTGCTTGTTTATACCAGTTACTTTAACTCATTTAGCATTTCCGAGAATAAATAAACTTGTAAAAAGTTTAGTACATCCAACTGAACAACAGCAGTGTATCCTTTAATCAACCAACCCTGAATCCAAAAAGTACCCTAAATTACAAATAAATTAACTATGTAATGCAGCCTATTATAAAATAATTACTGGCTTTATCAAGGTCCTATTTCAGTAACTTCATAAACCAATTTCCATTTCAACAGTATTGTGAAATGATTATGTGAAAATGTCACTGCCAATTAATAAGAAAAAGAATGACATCTCTCTACTGCGCATAAAAGTAGAATGTTTAAGAGTAAAGTGGTTGCAATACTCTTACTTCTTGAATTAATGTAATGAGACATGACCACTATTATTACAAAATTAATAAAATCTTCATGAGGAAGGACATTGTGAAGTACGTGAGTCTTCAGTCTTAATTTTCAGATATAAATCGTACAGGCTATTCAGAAATGGCATTACATGCAAATTATTTAAAATGTCTTGTTCCATAAACCATAACATCGAGTTTAGCTTTCACTTAAGCTACAATGAAATTGCATGCACACATGTAAGAGAAAAAAGCCAATAAAAGAACAATATGTTGGGTACAGTGTGAATCTGACTGGTAATATAAGCATGACAGGGGTGTGCTAGCAAAATGTTAAATACTGGGTTGCATGTCCAAATGTCAATTTCCAATTTCTTATTAACCTGCTTTTTAGGCTGGAAAAGGGGCTTATCATTTCTTTACTGTGTATGCGCAGTTGGATTGTAGCACCTGACCATGGTGAACATGTTTCTGGGCACTTTTCTTAAACTGTTTTCAATTTGCAAGTATTGGTTCAGCTAAATTGGTGCAAATCAGCTTCAGCACACCCCTGTGGAATGAGAATGATTGTGATTTGTGTCGCTCACATAGGGTGGATCACAGTAGATGGCCTTGCACCACATTGGCTCACTATGGTAACACACACACAATGAACAAACGCTGGGACCTGGGACGTAGAGGAGGCCATGGTTCACTATATTGCCTTGGAAGTCCATGCAGTCTTCTTCAACAGCATCTGTCAACAAATTACAACCACCACAACACACTACTCACCACAAGTCCCAGCCATGCAGTCCACATTCTTGAGACTCCAGTAAAATACAGAATGGCAAAAATGTACTACAGTTCTGCAAGTTGCATGAGGACAACCTTTCACTAACCCAATACAAACTAAAAACAATATGTTTTTGCTTTCATTCTTTGGTGGGAGTCTTCAGAAGCAACACATGGATTGACACAAGATGTTACGTACATACTGTAACACAATCTCAAATTCAGCTAGGCTCTACTGCAATAGAACTTGCATGAGGGAGTATGAAGGTGGGAGAAATACCACGTGGTGGGTGGAGGTATGAGTATTACAAACTATTTTTTAATAAACTTATAAAAACTGTAAATCTCTTTGTATTTTTACTGGTTGAATGAGAATTCCAGATATTTGCATACAAAATAACTGGACACATACTGTATATCAGACCAAATATAAACCAGTTACCCAGGGAACAAAATGGGTGCAGTTTGTTAAAATGAACAAATCGTTAGCATTAAAACACATTCCAGTTATGTGAGATACTGATGTAACTGGGTACTCAGAAAATTCCATAACTTTTCATGACTTTGGCCCATTTTTTTAATAATTTCCACATATGAATACACAAACTCTGTGTAAAGATATTAGTGTATGATTCTGTTGCCTTGCATGTTTACAATTGATACTAAAACCAGTTTCCATTGCATCATGACAGATGTAGATGTCTGAATCAAAATCTCTACAATATTTATACTGTCTGCCTATTTTAACCCTGAGAGTGGAAATAAATATCTTTGTTTTCTGTCAACAAAATTTAGTGACTGAAGTTGCAAAATCTAGTCATGATCAAACATCGAAATGTGGTTCCTACTGTAGTGAAGAATTAAATATTAATAAGAGGGTAGTTTGAAATGCAGAAATTTCCATCTGTCTCCTTTAATTTCATGGANAAATACACATTTGACTTAATTTCCAACTTCAAGATGTACAGGAAGACACAGTGGCATAACTAGTGTTTCCCAAGAGTTGTAACTGTCACCTCAGTAATTAAGACTGATGGACACTCAAAAGCTATGGAGCAATTTGTACTGATGAATTCATAATCTGAGTAGGTTGCCTCACAAATTGAGCCAAATTGTACTTAGGCAGAGAAGAACGCAGTTACAGCAACTTAACAGACTGCATCACAATTAACATTCAGCCAGAAAGCCATGATGCTGTCCTTTAGATGTCAAGGCTATAAGGAAGGTGTGGGAAGTCCCTTACTTTTAGTGCAATCTGCCAACTCAAATGTGGACCACTAAGAAAGTTGGCTCCAGTGGTAATGCTTGAGATTTGTATTTGAGAGATGACAGGTTCAGATTTCAGTTGGGACACCTACTATCCTGGCAGGTGATCATACTTTTCTTTCCTTCCAGGCAAATGCTGGGATAGTATTTGCAATTAGGCTATGAATGCTTCCTACCACAATTCCTTCTGATCACCAACCATCCTAACATCTGATGGTATACAGTGGTTAAATAAAACATGAATAGACAAGAGAACCTGAATGGAATAGAAAATCGGTTTCTTTAGTGTGCCTCAGCAGATTAGTCACATGAATTCTTTAACCTGAAACTATGTCATTAACACCATATTAGTTTCCAGAACCACCCCACACCATGCATGACACTGCACATCATATTGAAAGACAATATCAATATATGATTAAAAGCTTATATGTTTCTTCTGAAGGATTAAATTTATTTTGTTTGCAATGAAAATCTCCCTAATATTATTCAGTGCTGATACTCAAAATTCCAGTTCCCCTCATAAAATTTTACTTCTAAAACATATGCTTCTTTAAGAAAAGATTCTCAAGATTTTTGGTGCTTATGCCCAACAATATTACACCAAGCAAGAGCAGTGAGATTCTTAATACTTTTAGTCAGGAGCATGGGTGCTACAGGAGAGGAGGAGGGAGCAAGGCAACCCCCTCCCAGGATTGTTGAAATCCCGTATTAAAACTAAACAAGAAATTCTGGGAAGAACTAACTGTCTACTTTCCTTTGATACAACATGGACCACAGAGAAAACGAAAAAACGGAGCAAGGGGAATATATAGATAGCAAAGTGTTCTCACAAGCCTCCTAGTATTTCTTCAAAATAAATAAAGTAGTATTAAAACGAATTAAATTTAGCAAATACTAATACCAAAATTAAAATTATTAAAAAAATAATTTTCTATCTAAAGTATTCTAGGTGAAGGCATAAAAATGATCTTTAATAGCTTAAATACAAGTTTGCAAACAAATTTTCTTGCTTCCTTCCTGGAGGAAATCATGACAGAGCCCATCATCAGGAGAGGCATGACCATATTTCAGCTATTCTACTGGCTCTCCTGACTTAAGTGAGATTTACATGTCTTGGAAATTCCAAATATTGCTACAGAATCACTAACAGAAGGGTAGGCTGTGAGAACTACAGGGACTGTAGATCACAAAGAAGGGGCAGAAAGGATGTTTAACAAGTATATTGAAGGGATAAAAGGGTGTAGATGTTTCCATTTGTATACACTAGTACAAAAATATTGGTAATTTTCTGTATGGCTAATACAGACTCGTTGTTTACATTCTCTAAAGAATGGACAATACTGTGTAAGATGTGGCACCAACTAATAATTAACATTAATATTACTACATCTACATTACGAGCCTCCAAAACAGTTTATTATATATATACAAAATATAGAATACTCCAATTTGTCCATGTGAACACAACAAAATCACAAAAACCAACAACTGACATGACGATATTATATTTAAGCATCCTGTTACACTCTACACAATATATGACACAAACTCCATCCTAAGAGCAACAATTTATTGTAGTTCTTTCGTCTTCCTTTCTTCTACGCTACGTGTTTCAGCTGTAAATTGCCATCATCAGGTGTATACTCTCACGTAGCTGCCACACTGCACGTAGTTTAAAGTTTAAAAAACACCCGTCTTCCCAATTGTTCACTTCTCTGTTGCTAACAGGTTTCGATATATCAGAATCCCCCCCGAACACAGGGAGCCTACACAGAATAATACCTGAACAGTGCTGAAAACAAGAAGTAGCCGCTGCAGCATTATAGACATAGGGCGGGTACCCTGAGAATTTCAAACTTTGAAGAAATTTTTAAATTTGAATTGAAGATTTTAAAAGTGCCAGTTTTTGAAAATCAAATTGACGTGTGTAGGTTAACAAAGATTTTGTACATATCTGACAGATATCAGCGGGGAGGATTCTGATATATCGAAACCCGTTAGCAACGGAGAAGTGAATTGGGAAGACTGGTGTATTTTAAATTTGTTAAATTTTAAACTACGTGCAGTGTGGCACCTGATGATGGTCATTTACGGCTGAAACATGTAATGTAGAATAAAGGAAGACGAAAAAACTACAATACATTTGTACTACGGAGTTTGTGTCATATATTGACTCGATGATGTAAAGCATCACTTGAAGAATTTTATTCTTCTTTTATACTATAACGTTTGTTTTATATAATCTAATTTATTTTATTTTTATGCTAAGTATTCTAATATAATTAATATTATTGTATCCAATTTTATTAGTACTGCAGTTCAGTGGTGTATATATGTTAGCCATGTAGTTGCCTGATGATGGCTTCCAAAGCAGAGCCAAACTGGGCACTGACCTTCATATAGTTGTGTTATGACAGTTTTAATAAAGAAATTGCAAAAATATAAGCTTGACCATCTCATGTTTTTTTTTGTGTGTTTGTTTCTTTCCCCATTTATTTGCACAGCATTCCCTTTGCAGTATAGGTATTTTATGCATGTGATTTGTGCAGCTCATAAGGATGTTGATGTAGTGTTATTTTCAATTTTGTTATGTATGAATCTCTGGCCACAGGTGCTTCCATGCTGCCAGAGTAGTTGTGTTGCTAACTGGTCTGTGTATGTGTATGTAAATATTTTGACAAAGAGTACAAGAATTTTAGCAAAATAGACAACACCTGATGATGGCCATATACAGCCAAAATGTATAGTGAGAAAAAAGGGTGACTAATGAATAAGTTGCATTTAAGATGGAAATATACGTGAAATAAATGATAAAACTTGGTTTCTTGCTTGTTTATACCAGTTACTTTAACTCATTTAGCATTTCCGAGAATAAATAAACTTGTAAAAAGTTTAGTACATCCAACTGAACAGCAGCAGTGTATCCTTTAATCAACCAACCCTGAATCCAAAAAGTACCCTAAATTACAAATAAATTAACTATGTAATGCAGCCTATTATAAAATAATTACTGGCTTTATCAAGGTCCTATTTCAGTAACTTCATAAACCAATTTCCATTTCAACAGTATTGTGAAATGATTATGTGAAAATGTCACTGCCAATTAATAAGAAAAAGAATGACATCTCTCTACTGCGCATAAAAGTAGAATGTTTAAGAGTAAAGTGGTTGCAATACTCTTACTTCTTGAATTAATGTAATGAGACATGACCACTATTATTACAAAATTAATAAAATCTTCATGAGGAAGGACATTGTGAAGTACGTGAGTCTTCAGTCTTAATTTTCAGATATAAATCGTACAGGCTATTCAGAAATGGCATTACATGCAAATTATTTAAAATGTCTTGTTCCATAAACCATAACATCGAGTTTAGCTTTCACTTAAGCTACAATGAAATTGCATGCACACATGTAAGAGAAAAAAGCCAATAAAAGAACAATATGTTGGGTACAGTGTGAATCTGACTGGTAGTTTAAGCATGACAGGGGTGTGCTACCAGAATGTTAAATACTGGGTTGCGTGTCCAAATGTCAATTTCCAATTTCTTATTAACCTGCTTTTTAGGATGGAAAAGGGGCTTATCATTTCTTTACTGTGTATGCACAGTTGGATTGTAGCACCTGACCAAGGTGAACATGTTTCTGAGCACTTTTCTTAAACTGTTTTAATTTGCAATTATTGGTTCAGCTAAATTGGTGCAAATCAGCTTCAGCACACCCCTGTGGCATGAGAATGATTGTGATTTGTGTCGCTCACATAGGGTGGATCACAGTAGATGGCCTTGCACCACATTGGCTCACTATGGTAACACACACACAATGAACAAACGCTGGGACCTGGGACGTAGAGGAGGCCATGGTTCACTATATTGCCTTGGAAGTCCATGCAGTCTTCTTCAACAGCATCTGTCAACAAATTACAACCACCACAACACACTACTCACCACAAGTCCCAGCCATGCAGTCCACATTCTTGAGACTCCAGTAAAATACAGAATGGCAAAAATGTACTACAGTTCTGCAAGTTGCATGAGGACAACCTTTCACTAACCCAATACAAACTAAAAACAATATGTTTTTGCTTTCATTCTTTGGTGGGAGTCTTCAGAAGCAACACATGGATTGACACAAGATGTTACGTACATACTGTAACACAATCTCAAATTCAGCTAGGCTCTACTGCAATAGAACTTGCATGAGGGAGTATGAAGGTGGGAGAAATACCACGTGGTGGGTGGAGGTATGAGTATTACAAACTATTTTTTAATAAACTTATAAAAACTGTAAATCTCTTTGTATTTTTACTGGTTGAATGAGAATTCCAGATATTTGCATACAAAATAACTGGACACATACTGTATATCAGACCAAATATAAACCAGTTACCCAGGGAACAAAATGGGTGCAGTTTGTTAAAATGAACAAATCGTTAGCATTAAAACACATTCCAGTTATGTGAGATACTGATGTAACTGGGTACTCAGAAAATTCCATAACTTTTCATGACTTTGGCCCATTTTTTTAATAATTTCCACATATGAATACACAAACTCTGTGTAAAGATATTAGTGTATGATTCTGTTGCCTTGCATGTTTACAATTGATACTAAAACCAGTTTCCATTGCATCATGACAGATGTAGATGTCTGAATCAAAATCTCTACAATATTTATACTGTCTGCCTATTTTAACCCTGAGAGTGGAAATAAATATCTTTGTTTTCTGTCAACAAAATTTAGTGACTGAAGTTGCAAAATCTAGTCATGATCAAACATCGAAATGTGGTTCCTACTGTAGTGAAGAATTAAATATTAATAAGAGGGTAGTTTGAAATGCAGAAATTTCCATCTGTCTCCTTTAATTTCATGGAAACATTCCAGACATCTTTAGGTTTTCAAATATGTAGTATGGTTGATGGATGTTGACATTTCAGAGGAAACACTACCTCCATTTTCATGGTAGAAATACTCTAACCATAAAAATACCAACCAGATTTATCCAAAACACTGGTACCATTTAGCAAACTACATGGGATCACAACTGAAAACATTGGAGTCTTCATAGTCACCATTCCAAGACACTCATCTGTCACATCTTTAGATGTGTTACAGTTTTGCAAGGTCATATGTTTTTGATACTCATACAACACACTGGAAAATAGGTAAAGGTACATAAAACAGTTGTGACACTTGGCACAATTACTCTAAAAACATACATCTTATAGAAACTTAAAATGTCTGTCACAAAATAAACTTCAAGACACTATTTATCTTTATTCCTGTTACTCCCACTTGGAGCATAGGGCATCCATGAAACGCTTTGTTTCACTTCAATTTCTTCATCCTAAATTAAGGATTCCTTGGGTGGGGGATCAGCATGCTGCAAGGTCGCTAACTGCACAGGACAACACAAACCCAGAATTAACACAGATAGACATCCATGCCTTGAGTGGGATTCGGCAATTTAAAGAATATACTGGAGCTAATTAAAGTAGGCAGCAGCAATCAGTTAACCTACTATGAAAGTCACATATTACAATTCATGCACACTACAACACACCACCACTAAATACTACAAAATTACTCAGTACTACATCTAATAAGCTGATCACAGCGGCCATGCAGTCTAAGGCCACTTGAACACTGGGGTCCAAATCCCACTCGAGGCATGGACGTTTGTCTATATTTATTCTGTGCTTGTGTTTTCCTGTGTGGGTAGCAGCCTTGGGACGAGCTGATTCCCCATCCAAGGAACCTTACAAACTGTCTAAAGATTAAGAAACTGAAGTGAAATGAAGCATTTCATGGATGCCCTATGCTGCAGACAGAGCAACAGAAATATGAATGAATGAATGAATGAATGAATGAATGAATGAATGAATGAATGAATGAATGACATCTAATATACAAGCATAGCTCAGAATACATTACTTTCCACTACAACCATGCAAAAAGTATGATGGGGCCAGGTGTGTAAATTGAGAGTGTTAGTTCCACAACTAAATAGAACTACATAAAAATATACAAGGTCTGAGAATTAGACAACTGGAATAAAGATGAGATGTGTTGGACAATGTAACCAACTGATTTACCAGTTTTGAGTCCGTCATTTGGATTCTCTTTACTTGTAGGTCCTGTAAGTGTTTCATTTCACAGGCTTTCATGTGTTTGTAAAATTAAAAGTAAATATATTGTTAGGTCAGAGAAAAATTACATTTTTTAGTAAAACTGGAGAAAAGTGGCAGTGACATTTATGAAATGTTGCAGACAGTTCTGGAGAATGAACACTGATTAGAACGTAGGTCTTCATGCAGGCTAAGTAACTTCAAGACACAAAGATATTAGAGCCTATGAATGATCCTACCATATGAGGACTTAAAGAACTTGCTCAGAACATAGAAAAGGTTACCAAAATTAAATTAACTGTTAGAGCGAGAGAGAAGAAATGATCATGAAGAGAGAAATTTGAGACTGGTTTTGACACAAGAATAAGAAAACCATCGCCAAAATGGTCCACAAATGATCAGCAGTAAGCAGAAATGAGAAAATAAATTTGCTGAGACCAGTTGGGAAGAATATGATTGCTGGAAAAAAAAAAATGAATGGTAATAGCATGGGTCGTCCACTGTCATCCAAATATGAAATATTGAAATCTTTAATAGAAAAATCGTACATAAAAAGAATATGAATGAGAAGATCAAAAGTGAAAACCATGCTAAACTGTTTTCCTTTAAGCGGAAAGCATTATCCATTGTAAGTTTGTTCTGCCAAAACAGCAGCAATGCATACAAGTTTCATGTTTTGGAACAATTATGGCAACAGATTCATTGCAAGAGCTACAAACTTTTTTGAGACAAGTCCATTCTGGGCTCTGACAATTCACATTATTATACAGCATCTTCAGTGATTTATTACAAATAAAAACAAAATGCCAGTTTTTAATATTTGCTATACTGATTCAGGTTTGGCGCTACATACATAAACTCTTCCACGTTCTGTAAACTGAAAAACTCTTTGAGAGCATTTCATTCTGAAAGACATTCAGACCAATGTGATGATGGTACTGACAGGTAAAGGTGAAGCTGTCCCTCTGCTTAAATAATTAAGCATTATGACATGATGCTATACGGAAGGGAATGTATAGCTACACTATTCTTTACATGGCACTAGATGGAGGTAAGTGGTCAGCTGAACACCCAGGCAGCTTTACCGCCCTGGGGAAAGAGTACCCGGTACTCATTGGATAGGAGGCTGGTTGAGCCCCACATTCAGTCTAGATGCTGTGAAGAACAGCTTGGTATTGACAGGGTTTCTGAAAAATGTTTTCCAATGTTTCCAGGCATGGCAGACACATTCAAATCAGAAAGTGAATATTTGCAAGGTGATCACACTAACTATAGGTTAGTGACNCGGGGGGAGCAGTGTGACATGTTGAGCTATGGATGACGCCCCTCCCCCCCGCCAGCCGTGATGAGCCGAGCGGAGCCGAAGTTAGCCGAGTCCCCGCAACCTGGTAGCTATGCAACGCGAGTCAACAGCGATGACGTCACCACGGGTACCGCGGGTTGCTAGGCAGCGCGCGTAAACAGTTGTTGCGAGAGACGACGGTAGTAACAGCGGTACACAGCGTTGCTGGCACGATGGCACCAGACATAGTGGTGCCTATTACGTGGCCGTTTTCTGTATTGTCCGATCGAGGCTACATAAGGAGCAGCGAAGGCTATTCACGACCAGTCCTCGAGCTACCTCCGAGTTAGTTCCGAGTTAGCCAGCAACCAGTCAGTTGTATTGTGGCATTTGGAGTGTAGTATTTGTGATACTGCAGATAGCAGTAACTGTGAATCTGTAATTTGGGTGATTGTAAGTGCGAATGTGAAATAAAATTCTCTATACCAAATACGGCGTGAAATTATTTGTCGCGTTATACACCCAACATGTGACAATATATAATGTGAGGTTTGAGGCTCTAACAGTGTTGATTATGAAGAGCACCAAGTCTGGTAGCAGTTCATGAATGTTTCAGATGAACAGACTGCCTCCATCTTCAGGATTGAAGGTTAAGCTGAGTAAACAACAATGTTGCTTCTTGTTTACTCAGCTTACACTCTGACCCTAATAATCCTCTTAAACATCAGTAAACTTCTACCAGACAAGAATATTCTTCAGTTTGAACATGTCTCTATTAGGAATACGGGTTTATAACAGGTAAATTTACACCTCCAAAATGTAATTCATAAGTATTAATATGGACTACAAAAGGTTTTATATTAGCATACTCCTGAATTTGCAAAAACAGCTTTCTCTTTTATACATGAATGACATAAAAAGCAAGTTCCTGTACTTTAATTATTTTTAAACAGCACTTTCTTCACTTTCTCCACTCTAGTTTTGAGACTAAAAGGTATTACAAAATTTTGAATAATTATAATTCCTAACATCTATGTCCAAAGTGCATTTCATACCATTAATCTTGGAAATCCTAGGAGGATGAGATGGATATGGCAAGCAGCACACATGGAGAGAAGACAAATGCATGTAGGATTCTGGTTGGAAAGCCAGAAGGAAAGACAGCACTAGGAATATATAGGCAGAAGTTGAAGGCTAATATTAATATGGATCTTACAGAAATAGAATGTGGTGGTATGGATTGGGTTGATCTTGCTCAGGATAGGGACTAGTGGACATCTCTTGTGAATATGATAAAGAACCTTCTGGTTCCATAAAATTTAGTGCTATAGTTATAATAAATTGTTTCTTATATATATATATGTTCCTATCGTTTATAGCACTATAATTGACCCACTGACTGATGTGTCGATGGCCCAAGTACCAGTGACAAATCTTACGAAAAACTTAAGTAGCTAAGTTACTGGCCATTTCTTAAGAATGACTCACCTCTATGGAGTTAGTCAATCTTGGAAATCAGTAGTCTGGCAACTGTACTGCAATAATTTTAACTACTGATAATAAAATGTGATAAACATAAAAAAACCTGTAGCCCAAATATGATTCAAATATGATATACCAAAAGAAAATTACAATGCCAAAATCACCAGATACAATTTCAACATATGAAATGCGAGTCACAATTGAAACTGACATGATAGTTACGAACATTAAAAATAGAGAATGAAATAATTGTTTCAAAATCTGAGATTCAAAATTTAACAGAATTCTGAAAACAGAACCTTAAAAAAATATCATGAGCATTTGATTTACATTACAATTGTAGTTCACAAATTACTAACATCAGTGAGAATTCATCACGCAACATGGTATTACATTCCTAGTATTCGAACTACGTTAGTTTTAAAAGCACTTTAAATATGGCAAAAATAGCTGTACTTACAATTAAAATCTGAACAATCTACAACAATACTACTCTTCTAGGTTTAAATTACCGGTTTTTAACAAAAATCACCAACAATTATTTAAGAATAGGAATGAAGTCTTGCAAAATCCTACTAGAATATCTCACCCATCATAAATAAAACGGTCTCCTACTTTCTGCAACTTAAATTTCTGCATTGTCAGAGTGTGTCAGATCGATTTATAAGTCTCACAGTAAAACTAGTAGCACCAAATTCAATAAAAAAATACAATGGTTAATAGGAAATGCCTTCATATTTCCGTTCCCCCAGCCTACAAACACAAGTGTCTTTTACACTAGCTTAACATTATAGTAACATATGACTCCTTGACTTCTTTGGAATTTTCTCCGACCTCTTACTGCAACCCAATTACATTCGTGGCAACATGTTTACATCTTAGCAATCATGTGTGCCAGTACGGTGAGAGCATGCCATATGCCCCCCCCCTTTTTGGAAAAATCAAAACTGAGGGGGAAAACTAAAATATACCAAATATTTAAATTACTTTTAAATATGACGCCATCTATTTCTGGTACAGACACATTCAACGCTTCGGTGGTCCATAAATACATACTTTAACCTACGGCTGTAAGCAAATTTTTCTGGTTGCACCAACTTGGAAAAAATCCTGGCGGGACCAACATTGACAGCTCACGCTATTAAATGCTTCATTTGCACAACTGTACTCACCTAAAACGCAAAATAAAACTGAAATATTAAGTAAAAAGAATATTAAACTGGTCATATTTGCGACTGAATCACAGATTAATTTCTACATTGAGGTCCTAGCTTGATGACATCCGACATTCGGACACGATCAATATAACTCCATGCAGCCTATGCTCCAACCCCTCCAAACGTTCCTACGGCTCAGACCGGCTCAGACTGACCGCAGACCGCCGCAGACTGACAGTCTGCCGGTCACTGGGTCACTGAAGCGCGTATATTACATTTTCAACGCAACAGCTGCGCCATTACGACGTTTTGAGAGCGAAGTGATTAACTCTCCCGAAATCTGGAAATAAAAGTAAAATAAATTTTGATGAACTCACGTAGGTACTTAGAACCATTACACTCATTACGGTGTTACCTCAATGACTCGTTCATTGAATCAATTCATTTAATCACATCAGTGCATATGCTACACTATTCTTGAGGTGTCATTTCAAATCTATCACGTTGTAATTTTATTATTTTTTTATTATTATTGGTACTATTATTTCACAGCTTGCCGATCACAGTGGCCGCGCGGTCTAAGACATGAACTGTTATTGCCTGCTCAAACACTGGGGGTCGTAGGTTCGAATCTCACTCGAGGCATGGATGTCTGTGTGCGTTTATTCTGCGTTTGCATTCTGTGTGCATGTAGAGGCCTTGCGACGGGCTGATCCACCGTCCAAGGAGTCCTACTGACTGCGTATAGATTAAGAAACTGAAAAAGTGGCCACAGCCCAACGAAGGGCTGTAGAGCCCTGGTAGACTTTTACAGATCAGTAAATTTATGAGAAACGAATAATATGTACGTAAAACACATACATAATGTTTCTTCTGACACATATCTCTGTTTTTTAACAAGTCTGTTGTTTTGGTCAATTCAAATTTTAAATCTTAAATAAATCATGTAAATATGTATAGTGCATCGTGCGTGACGAGGAAAAAAATTGGAATGTTCAATTCTCATAAAGCAAATTTATATAACAATGAATGGAACATAATCCCAAAATAATAGAAACTGAACGAAGACTGAAAAGAGCAAGTGGAACCTGTTCTGCTGCACTCTGACAATGATTATAATCAATATGAATAGTAACCCAAGTGTGGTTAACTAGATTGTTCAGCGGACGAAAACTGGCAACTAAAAGAGGTATAATTCAATATGAGTACCGTTCGGAATTTCTGGGAAACGTCTGGCATTTTAACTGTGTCTGCATGTCGGTAGAACTGCACCCGAAAGAAAAGCAGATTTTCCATTTCCCCATTTTGTACTGGAGAAGCAATTCAACGCAAAAATTTATATACAATCATGTATGTTTAAAAAAAACATCATTTATCATCCAGACGCTTGAAAGTTGAACAGACGTTCGATATTCGCAATCAAAATCAAAATATATCGTCCAGCTGGTAACATGTTCCTAGCAGCGAATAACTTCTGAATATACAGCGGTGTTGTTATTCTTTTTATTTGAAAAAAAAAATCATGTATATACAAAAATGCCGGTCACGGTAGCCGAGCCGTCTAAGGCATGTACTGTCTTCGCTCGCTCGGAAGCCAGGATCGTGGGTTCGAATCCCACTCAGGGCATGGATGTTTGTGTGCGTTTTTCTGTGTTTGTGTACAGGTAGAGGCCTTGCGACGAGCTGATCACCCGCCCAAGGAGTCCTACCGTATGTGTAAGATCGAGAAAAACCGAAGTGAACGGAGAAGTTCATGGAGGTAGGCCTAGGCCCACTGGGCTGTAGTGCGAAGGAAAAAAAAATATATATACAAAAATGGCTTAGGCAATGCCCATCCGGCCCTCTGTAGCACATTTCTATTATTTATAGTTAATTTAAGGGAGATGTTAAAAAATCGCGGGATCACTTCCTTCATATTTGAACATCTCTCTTAAAATGGTTATTGGTTCACGTAAGCGAATGTGCATCATCTTTAGCGAATAATTAGAATGATTTATCCATACTTCGTTCAATTATGCGCCCTCCCCGCTGTCAGATGTCGTCCCTGCATGTTTCTCCCTCCCCTATCGCAGTTACATCCTGTGCTGGTGAAGGGGTAGGTGACTGGGGTGGTACTGACCGGTACTGACCCGTTTAGTAATCCGCGGTACCGACAGTGAGATGCATTTTAGCAGTCCATCAATACTTCCTCCAATTGTGCGCGTAATTGTTGCCAGGGAGAAGTGTTGTAACAAGCCGTTGTTTAGTAATGGCCGCTCCTTGGCGGTTGTCTGACTCCACTATTTTGGCCCTTAGTCGTCATGTCGCAGTATAATCTAAGGAAATTAACGATGTCAGATATTAGTTATTCTAGTTTAAAAATTTCTCATCAAGTAAGGGAAAGCGTAAGTAAACTTTTTTAATATATGTAGTTTCGGTGTACGGTGGGAAAATTGTAAGAGTCCTAAGCTATAAGGTAAAAAGAAAGTAAATGTAAAGAGTCCTTGTGCTTAATTAATTAAGCAGCACGCCAAGATAACGTATGGGCGAATGGAGGTTGGAGGTACAGCTGCACCGTCCTTGACCTTGGCACTAACCTATCCCCCTCCCCCCCAAAAAAAACATGGGATTCAAGGAGAAACTTTGTCAATGACAGGAAAACTGTTTGGAAATACAGATTTCAGTTTGTATACTTTCATTTAATTACTTTTTATGGGCTATTATAAATAACATGAATTAAACATAATAAAATATTTTAAATGTGATATTATAATCTCTTCTCTTTTTATTTTTGTGACTTTCTGTGATAAGTGTTTGCCATAAAGCTGATGCATTCAGCAATAAATTTGATGTGAAAAAATAAAGAAAAATCATAGAACAACCCATTGAATTCTATGACGTTTATAGTCCCTCTAATATGTCAAGATAATTTGCCAAATAGTAACTGTCTAATATTAATGACCTGACCTTCACCAAGTGAAACCTATTTTCACAAATCAGGTTCATTGTGGTATAAACAGTACAGCTAGTTAGGAGATAAATTCATTACCAGAAGTGAGAAGTTTAGTCCTTTCAACAAACTAATAATGCTTCTCAGTATTTATTTTTATATATTTATTTTCAGGAGGAAAAGAAAGCTTTAGAAAAGAAACGGCAGCTACTGTATCTTGTTCTACATTACCTCAAGGATGAAGGGTAACTGAATTATATGCTGAACACAAGGCTGTATTAAGAAACTCACCATATATAGAAATGTTTCAGGGCCCAGTTATAGCATGTTCAGTTCATTCTCAGTGGAATGTGTGGTGGATCTGGTCAAGTCCACAGACTGAGATAATCACTGCAGGGTGTGCATGTGCCTTAGTACCAGTGCCTCAAGGTCTCTTTCTCCCTCACATAATGCAAATGCAAGTATGTCTCACCATACTACTTTTCGCCTACAATGAAGAGGCCAGGACTAAAAATTTGCCTATAATAAGAAAATGATCTCATGTTATGTACATTTCCAATTATATAAATTTGATTTGTTTCATTCTGGTCCATTACACTAACAATATCGTGAAAAGTTAAACAGTTCCATCTAGTGTGATGGGTGAAGATTTTTCTTATTTCAATTTTTTATGCCCTTACATGTTTCGGTCTTCAGAGACCATCATCAGAGGGACACCTTTACATCAGTACAGTTTGGAGCTACTATTAAAATATATGTTCTGAAAGTTAAAATGTACACATATAATATTATTATTATATACAATTGGGATTAAAATCTAAAGTCTTTACAACTACAGCGGCTGTTCCAATACATTAAAATATTTATAATTTGTTTGTTAAGACTCTATTGGAATTCAGAAACCAAGCAGGTTCATGTCATCCCTCTTATTATTTCTCTTGATGGGGGCTGAACTTGTTCCACCGTGTCATGCCACAAACACAGACAGGACAACATCAAAGAACCCTCTTCTCGAGAATGACACAGCGGCTCATGTTCGGTCCCCGTCGAGAGAAATAATAAGAGGGACGACACAAACCTGCTTGGTTTACGAATTCCAATAGAGTCTTAACAAACCAATTATAAATACTTTAATGTATTGGAACAGCCGCTGTAGTTGTAAAGACTTTAGATTTTATTCCCAATTGTATATTATTAATATTATATGTGTACATTTTAACTTTCAGAACATATATTGTAATAGTAGCTCCCAACTGTACTGAGGTAAAGGTGTCCCTCTGATGATGGTCTCTGAAGACCGAAATATGTAAGGGCATAAATAATTAAAATAAGAAANAATGACACAGCGGCTCATGTTCGGTCCCCGTCAAGAGAAATAATAACAGGGACGACACAAACCTGCTTGGTTTACAAATTCCAATAGAGTCTTAACAAACCAATTATAAATACTTTAATGTATTGGAACAGCCGCTGTAGTTGTAAAGACTTTAGATTTTATTCCCAATTGTATATTATTAATATTATATGTGTACATTTTAACTTTCAGAACATATATTGTAATAGTAGCTCCCAACTGTACTGAGGTAAAGGTGTCCCTCTGATGATGGTCTCTGAAGACCGAAATATGTAAGGGCATAAATAATTAAAATAAGAAAGATCTTCACCAGTCACACTAGACGGAACTGTTTAAATTTTCATGATATATTTATAAAGCTTGAAATATTATATTTTAGCATCTTATTGTGTGAAATTCCTTTATTTTATTTTGCCACTGCAATAGGGATTGTGGACACACCATATGTTCATCTGTTGCAACATGTTTCAGCTCATTTCTCTGGGGTACTTCCTGGTCTGGAATGTGAACACATTTTTATGGGAACATATATGTGTTTTTATATGCTGGTGGAGGGGTATGCTTATAAAAAACTGATAACATTTTATTTAAGCATGAAGAATGCCTATGGATAGATTAGGCACACATTCATAATGCTCATTTTTCTAGCAAATAGTTAAATTAGAACAGGATGTTATTTGAAGTTGCTTTTACTAAATCACCAATGATGGGAATACACAAATATATACACCATTAATGATGCTACTACCCCCACCACCACCACCATGAAACCATAAATAAGAAAAACCTCTATCATTTCTGTTCATTCATATTGTTATCTCAGTGGGCTGAATACTGCAGAATTCAGCAGTTATTGAGCAAAAGTTTTAAAAAAGAAGTTTATTAATTGCATACTCTTTCAATTCAAGAGTCTGTTTGAGATATGCATGAAAAAACAGTGCTGAAAGTTGAATAGTTGATTCCTGAAATCTGGTGACCTCTTAGTGTTTTGTATCATTCATGATAGGAGCAGGTGGCCACACTTGATAATCACTACATACATTATTCTGCATATTACTTCATTTGGCTATAAATCAGTATTTGTAACTTTCAAATTTACTGCATACAAATGTCATATATTAATAATCAACACAATATGACAGCTGCTATCCTGTTCTCACAGTCAGTTGGTTTTTAGGGCTACAACAGCAACAGCATAATGAAGATATTCATAAATTGTACCCAGTATAATTAGAATGCTCAAGTCAAGGAGGATGAAATTGGCATGTACTGTAGCACAAATGGGGGATAAGAGGATTGCATATAGGATTTTGGTAGGAAAGTCAGAAGAAAGACATAGATGGGTGGATAATATTAAAATTGATCTTAGAGAGATAGGATGTGGTGGTATGGACTGGACTGATCTCGCCCAGGTTATGAACCAGTGAAGGGCTCTTGTGAACACTGAAATGAACCTTCGAATTCCATGAAATGTTGGGAAATTCTTGTGTAACTGCATAACCGGTGGCTTCTCATCAAGGGCTCATCTCCGTGGAGTTAGTTAGGTAGTCCTTCACGTAGTATTAAAACCCTTCTTTAAATAACATACCAAGGATGTCTTAGTCACTCCACCATTATCTTGATTACCCCAAGTTGCATTGTCCCCTCGGTTGGTAAATGATTGGCAGATGTGATTGACAGTATTTTTCCATTATATCCCAATCTTTACATATAATATGTTTTAACAAGATATTCTCTTGAAGCTGTTCCTCGCTGTACCTTTCATCATTACACCTAATTGCTGGGCTCTGCGTCTTCCAGAGGTCTCCTTCCTCACTTTTAAGTCCATTATCTCTTTATTATTTTATAACATTCTATTCTACTGTACGTCATAAGAGACTCAATTTAACTCTTGACTCCTATAGGAAAACCCTGCAACATGAAGTTAGTTAACAGAACTAATACATCACTGTTTATGTATAAAATTCATTTGTCTTCTGGATTATGACACCATTTAAACTAAGTCATTGTTACCAGTGTTTGGGGAGAAACATACTTTTGCCCTCAAGATGTAGGCAGTATGCTCCTTTCAAACATCCGTAACAAACTACCAGGCTAAACAGTGTCATTATCTGCAATACAGCATGAATTATCGCTGCTGTGAAAACCTAAAAAATTCATTGAATGTCTCTGACCAGGTTCTTTGACACTGCCGAGTGCTTGAGTAATGAAGCACACCTTACAAATCAGTATCAGATTTGTGACAACATTGATTTGGGAATCATTGTTCAGGACTTTGAAACTTATTATTATGTACGCTTTCAAAAGTATCCCAAAATATGTAAGAAAATATGTGTGGAAGAAAACAGGAAGAATATGCAAAAAAAGACACCCTATCCAGAGAATGAAATTCAAGACACTACAAAACCTCGCACAACCAGTGTGCAAAATGAGATCCAAAAAGAAAGTAAATTACATGTTACAAAGTCTTTTGGAAAAACCTCAAGTATTGGTATACAGAAAACTATCAAGAGAAACACTCCTCTATCAGACTTGAATCTGACAGTGTTACCTATAACGCATGAAGGATTCACAAACATGGAAACTGACAGGACACAAAGTAATGTGCAGGATAGTAGCTCTGAAAAGCTGTTAAAGCCTCAATCAGGATATTCCAACTACAATGCTGAATGGAAAGAATTTGCTGAAATTATATCAAAGGTAAAGGTTACACAACTACTCATTTGACAGGTTGCAGTCATTATACTTTGAATAAAGGTCTTACAGTAGAAAATAATGGATGTATTAATTGTAGGAAATTTGTGTAATGAATCACAATGTGCATTGGAATGATATCATGGGATTGGAAGAGGCTAAACGTCTGCTGAGAGAAGCCGTAGTATATCCAACAAAATATCCAGAGTTATTCTCTGGAGTTCTAGCACCCTGGAAAGGTGTCCTTCTGTATGGACCACCTGGTACTGGTAAGTATGTTCTTCTGTCAGTTACTACTACTTTATTATATGAGAGACATACTACTACGGTTTCAAATAGAAGAGTATGCAACATGGACATACAAGCACCACATAAAAAACTATGAAAGAACTAAGCTTATGTGAGGTGTGATCATAAGATCTAGATTGGATGAAAAGTAATACTACTGTAGTTTGCAATTTGAATATAATATGCTGAACCATTTTCCGTTATTTTCACAACTACAGGGTGTGTCATTAACTAATCAAGTGATTATGACGTCCATAGACGTCATGCAATGCATACTCATATGTTGTGCTTGCAAGCTGTTCTAGCTACTTCAGAGTGTGACAGGAAGTTGTTGATTGCTTGATAGCTGTCCTGGGTTCGGGTTCTTCCGACTAAACGTTATGGCATGTCCTAGCAAGATGACTGGTGTGAGTGATGACGTGGTTTTTATGATATGTTGCAAGAGAATGAATGCGGTGATATTTCAGAAAGTGAATATAGTAGTGATAGTGAAATAAATGTGAAAATTTCGTCAGGTGATGAACAAAGTGCAGCTCTGATGAAGCAAAAACTTTCACTGACAACAGCAGCATGCACCCTGATGTATGGGCAAATTTAGGTGCTGAGCGACCATGTTTTACAGTTACTGGCAAGCCTGGCATAAATGTTGATTTAGAAGATTTAGAAGTATCTGAGGTCTACCCAATCTCCTACACAATGGGTACTGGGGGCTCTGTCCCTGGGGGTAAAATGGCAGGGGCATGAAGCTAACAACTCACCTCCACCTATTGAAGAGGCCAAGAATTGTGATACTACAGTATGCAACAAATATACAGTACTGAAATGAAAAGACAAACAATATTACCTTGTTGTCATCTATGAGTTTATTTCTCCTTAAAGAAACTAACATACACACTATTAGCGTGTTGATTTACCACGGTATGTGTAATGTAAGTTTGCGAAGTGTGCACCGCCTTGCTGCAGACAGTGTTCATACCATTCATGCAGATTCTCAATCATATCCCGGAACAAAGATTGCTGCAGACTCCTGCAAAAGGAGACGATTTGTTCGCATAATGCAGGCACAGTTCTTGGTAGCTCTTCACAGTTGAACACACTCTCCTTTACCATTCCCCACAAGTAGGCATCAGGTGGTATGATCGGGGGAATGGGACGGGTATGGGAAGTCAGTACTACATGAAATGATTTGTCCTGGAAAGTTTTCCTGCAGCATGGCTAGAGATTCTTGAGCGGTATGGCTGCTCGCCCTGTCCTGCTGATAGCACTGTCTATTCATGTGAAGGCCCCTTACACAACAGACTTCATCGGGGCAAATGCAGCACCTGCTGAAGAACACATGTGGTTCTATTTTGTCGAAACAGTTACTGGTCGACCAGACGTCCCCTTCCGTTGACACAGTACACTACCAAAACGGCGAAATTTCATAACAATAGACAGCATAACTGTGTTACTTGGTGCCGTCTTATTAAATCTCTCTTGGAATTGTTCTGTCACCTTTTTCAAACTCGGTCCTCCTTCATGACCACTTCCATATGAGCGGAAATAATACTCAATTATGAATACTTTTTCCTCTGTTGAGAGACCCATTTCCAACAACAACTGCACAACACAACTTCCTTTTCACTACTGGGAACATGTGCGGCTGGAGCTATGCCCCGTCAACATACGCACATGTGTGTTTGAGATGCATGAGTTTCAGTACTGAAATTTTTGGCACATACTGTATATCTTCACTCCCTTATGCCTTCATGGTGTGGTGCTTAATTAATTAAGCATGTGGACAACTTTACATTATACAATTATTACTATATTACTGAATATACAGAATGTAAATAAATACACGTATATGTTACAGTGCTCTGTAGCAGATAGATGGGTTCAATGTGATCATATTTTGTTAACACACCAATGCCTGGAAATACTTTGTTTACACGCTAGGTCCTTTGAAATGTAGAGGAGGACCTTCACCAAGGATGGCATTTTCAACTCCAGAAACAGCCATGTATGGGCTCAAGAAAATCCTAACATGAAGCATATCCAAAGCCACCAACACTGCTTCGCTGTCAATGTGTGGGCAGGGATTATCAATGACCACCTAATAGGCCTTTATCTCTTACCTCTGTGGCTTACTGGTGACATTTACCTAACATTTCTCCAAGAGACTTTACTGGAGCTGCTGGAAGTGGTGCCTCTGGAAGTCTGTCATGAAATGTGGTTCCAGCATGATGGCACCCCAGTCCACTGCACTAATGTCACCCATGAGTATTTGGATGAAACTTTTGGCAACAGATGGATTAGATATGGAGGCCCAATAATCTGGCCCCCTCGCTCCTCTGACTTGACTCCACTGGATTTCCTTCTATGTGGGTACATGCAAAGCCTGGTGTACGAGACTCCAGTGGAGACACATGATCTTATGGCAAGAATTGCAGTAGCAGCTGGAACCATCTGGGAAATGCTGGGAATCTTTCAAAGAGTTCAACATAAGATAGCCAGGGGGTGCAGATCATGCAATGAAGTCGGCAGCCGCCATTTTGAGCAACTTCTATAATGTAACACAACAATAACATTCCCTAAAACTTATGCTTCAGCTCAGAAACTTTTATGACGCTTAGTGCCAAAAGGAAGTGTTTCTGGACATTGGTGTATTAACAAAATACGAACAGATTGAACCCATCCATCTACCAGAGCATTGTAACATATGTTTGTTTACACCTTGTATATTAATACAGATTAATTCGTGCCCCACCCCCATGTGGAGGTGGGTTAGAATACATCCACTATAATCCTGCAAGTCGCAGAAGGTGACAAAAAGGGAACCTAGTGCCTGGGGGTATAATTGGGCCACCCTGTCACTGGGGGACATAAATATAGAGAACTGGTCCTCCAGGTTGGGGTGTGGTTGCCAGGTTGACTACCTTGCTCGATAAAAAATGACTGCTGCTAAATCCAAAAAAGTGAAAACAGGACAGTCTAATCTTCCAAGGAAGGCTATGGCTCAAAATGGGCTGTTTTGCCAATGATGATGATATACTAATTTGCATATTATGAGGTTAGTGGTAACCTTAATATGAGTTACTAGTAATATATTTTATTTAAACAGTAAAAGAACATGATACTAATTACAAAATTTTAGTACCAGTAATAATATGTAATAGTAATTTTTGCAAGAATGGCTATTCAGGAAAATTTATCTTGCAAGTAAACTTTTTCAACTTCCCTGGTGAAGTACAAGGCCAAAGAATCTCATACAGTTGTTGTGGTTGGAAGAGAACGCCTTCACACTCAGGCAATCTCCAACACCATGGTCTTTTCCTGAACAAAATACAGGATTTGTCCAATGTTCTCAATGACTGCTGTCTCCTGGATTGGGCCTAACCTAACCAGTGCCAAAGGGACATAAGAATTGTCTTTTCCCATTAACAAATATTAAACACATTCAGTCTCAGGTACACTAAGCTCATGCAAGCATTACTTCTGATCGTATTACATATAATATATAAAATGCGGAGAATAATTATGAAGGAAATGTGGCATGGTTTAATTATATTTTCAATGTACGAGGAGTGTTCTGTATATAATGCCTCCTATTTTTTTTAATGAAAACTACAACAGATACAGAAACCATAATAACACAGTTAAATAGAGCAAGATTTCAGCTACTTACAGAAATATTTTCACATAATCACCACTATTCATTATGCACTTTTGCCAACGATGAACAAGAGCCTGTATGCTGCTCTTGTAAAAGTCTGCACCAGCAGAGGCAAGCCACTTTCTTACAGCTGCAATGACAGCACTGTTGTCTGGAAAATATTGCCCACATAGTCCATTCATAGGGCCAAGGAGATGGAAGTCTGAAGGTGCTAAACTGGGGCTATAAGGTGGATGTGGTAGGACAGCCAGCCAAACTTTGCAATGTGCGCGGTGGTTGCAAACTGGTATGGGGTCTAGCGTTGTGTTGCAAGCAAAAGGTTGTCTCCTTCTCTGGCCTGACTTGGGAAATGCGGGCTACCAGCTTAGTCAGCATCATCTTGTAGCATTCAGAATTGACAGTCTCACCAGGCTCCAGGAAATCTAACAAAATCACACCTCGCCTATCCCAAAAGACTGTGCACACCACTTTCCCTGCCGATGGCTGTCTTGAACTTCTTCTTTCTTGGGGAATCCGGATGTCGACACTCCATGGACTGTCTTTTGGATTCTGGCTCGTAGTGGTGACACCAGGTCTCATCGCCGGTGACATTGCTGTCCAGAAACTTGTCACCTTCAGTCTCCGACTGGTGCAACAGGTCCTGACAGACTTCCATTCGATGAGTCTTGTGGTCCTGTGTAAGCATCCTCAGGACCCACCTGGAACAAACTTTGCGATAATCCAGCTTCCCCAACATTGTTTCTAATGCGTTACAGCCGATACTAAGCTGTGTACACAGTTCCCTGGTCGTTATCCGCCGATCTGTATAGATGAGCTGATCGAGGTGCTGTTCATTGTTAGGAGTGGCAGCTGAGCAGGGATGCCAGGGCGTGGCTTGTTGTGCACTTCACTTTTGCCACTGTTGAAACGCACTACCCACTGCCTCACTGTGCTGACAGCCATTGTATCTTCTCTGTACACCTTTAGCAAGAGTCGATGGATGTCAGTGGGTGTAATTTGTTCGGCAGTGAGAAATTCAATAGCACATTTCTGTTTCGTACGCACTTCTATGTCAGACGCCATTTTGGTAGACTGCTCTGCTGTTGCTACATGTCGCACGACAACCAAACAAACAGTACATTGGCGGGAAGGTTCAACCTTTACTACAACACCACCAACGTCCAGCTCAGACGTTACAGATTAACACAAAAAAATAGAAGGCATTATATATGGAGCGCCCTTCGTACTATCGATCCTTCAGATATGCAGACATTCTGCAGGCATGTACATGAGCATCAACACATGAAATCCTAGAAATAATGATTTTGAATGCTATAAAAACAATTTTATTTAAGAATAAACAAATTGTAAAACATGTGTTTTATAAGAATTTTGAACATAATAATATACTGAAAAACCCATACCTTAAATTACTCACAAAGGATTTTGACTACAAAATTGCAGATTTCTGGAATTAAACTTGAAATGGATGGCCTGGATCTTCTGAACAAGTACACCAAACTGCGTAGGGAGTCACCTGTGGTTAAATATCTCAATGCAAGACCTAGCATATCACTTACAGGTGATATTGAAAAGAACTGTTTTTCAAAGAAAGTACTGAAGGCACTACATTTAGCATGCCTTCAACATCTGTTAGTATCCCACATATAAAACAAAAAAGAAACAAACAAACAAATCTGAGGTTTCAGTCCGCAAGTGAACTATACTGACCAACGACCACAACTTGTTGGCGAAGTTAGTGCCAACTTTAGCAGATAGAGGGTGTCGCGTGGTCAGCACAATGAATCCCCATGGCTGTTAATTTCGGTTTACTAGACCGGAGCCGCTATTTCCTTGAAATAGCTCCTCAATTATCCTCACAAAACTGAGTGGACCCCGTTCCAGACCCACTTCTTCTCACAAAATCTGGTAGTGCGGGAATCGAACCTGGGACCTCTGCAGCTATAACTAAGAACTCTGACCACTAGACCATAGAGGCGGTCCATCTTAAAATTACTTTTGTCTTCAATGCGTAATTCTTCTAGAATAGAATTATACACTCCATATGATTTTCTTTCATTTAAAGAATTCTGCACCCACCATCTTGCCTTATTTTTGATCATTATGAAAGAAAAGTCTTAAGCAAATGAAGAGAGAACAAAGTATGTATTGCTGTTGTCTTTTCACCAGAATGCATAGACAGTTATAACATAAAGACAGCCATTAAATCCTTTGAAAATGTGGCACAGTTCAAATACTGGGGAGTGACAGCAACAAATCAAAATTCAAATTCAGGAGGCAATTAAGAGGAGACTGAATCTGGGTAATGCTTGCTATCATTTACTTCTGAAACTTCTGTCCTCTTGTAAGATTTGAGGTTTTCACGGCAGTGACTATGAAGAAAGCAGTCTTCTGGGATTTACACGGTGGCAAATCCCAGAAGACTGCTTTCTTCTGTCTTCTTGTCTGCTGTGTGAAAACCTGAATATGCAAAACTATAATTTTGTCTGCGGTTTTGTATAAGTGTGAAACTTGGTCACTGACATTAAAGAAGCAACATATACTGTGGGTGTTTGAGAAGAGTGTGCTGAGGACAATATTTTGATCAAACAGGTACAAATTTATAGGAGGTTGTAGAAAACTGCATCATGAGGAGCTCCAAAACTTGTACTCTTTGCCAAGTATAATCAGAATGATCGAGCCAAGGGGGATGAGATGAGCAGGACATATAGCATGCATGGAGGAGTTGAGGAATGCATATAAGGTTTTGATGTAAAAGCCAGAAGAAAAGAGACCACTAGGAAGACCAAGATGTAGGTGGCAGGATAATATTAAGATGTACCTCAGACAGATAGGATGGTGTGGTATTGACTGGATTGATCTGGTTCGGGACAAGGACCCGTGAAGGGCTCTTGTGAACACTGTAATGAACCTTCAGATTCCGTAAAATGTTGGGAAATTCTAGAGTAGTCATGCAACTGGTGGCTTCTCAAGAGGGGCCCAGCTCATCATCAAGAACATAATTTTTTTTTTAATTGTTATAAAGAGCACCATCATAGAAAGTAAAGCTGTCCCTGTACTTAACTAATTAAGCACTACGCCATGAAGGTGTATGGGGGTGGGGGGGGATGTATAGACCCACTTTTTCTTGACCTCAACACTAGTTGGAGGTGGCACTATCATAGATAATTTTAATAATGTTATAAAGCATCAATTTTATATTCACAGGCATGTTATATATTCTTCTTAACATAACTGAAGAAGTGTTATAACTACATATATTGAGATATATACTTTCTTTGCTATATATGTGTATTTTGTTTCCTGTATAACATCTGATGCCATTTATCATATAAAGAAACATGTAACTGTAACAATATATAAAAGCTGTTGTTTAATGAAAGTGAATATAGATTATCTGTAATAAAAAACACAATGGTATTTCAGGTAAAACCCTACTGGCTAAAGCTGTTGCTACTGAATGCAAGACAACATTTTTCAACATCTCGGCAAGTTCTATTGTAAGCAAGTGGAGGGGAGAGTCTGAGAAACTAGTGAGAGTAAGAACAGAATAAATTCTTCATTACAAGCACATCATTACTGGCCAGAGATATTCCATATTATGGCCCTGCGTTTGACTCAGTCTCTTAACAGAAATGGGTACCAGGAATCTTCCTAGGGGTAAAGGGCAGCCGGTGCATAAGTCTGACAACCTCACCACCATCTATGAGCCGAATGTCTAACAAAGTTGGGAGCCTTGACATCTCACAACCTTATGGGCCTCCATGGCCTGTGAGGGATAGATTTACTTTTGTTTACATTACCTAAAGGAATTCCATACTTTTCATGTAAACAACACAGGAAGAACTATATTACAATTCACATTACTTAAGTTCTTCCCTAATATTATAAAGAGTTAGGATAGCTCAGTCAATGTAGTGACTATGAGTCCAATGATTAGGATTAAATTCCCAGTAAAGGCATGGATCTTTTTTTTTTTTTACCATCATGTCCAGACTGGCTTTGGGGCCCATCTAGCCTCCTATACAGTGGGTACTGTGGACCCTCTCCCTGAGGATATAGCAACCATGGTGTGAAGCTGACCACTCACTCCATGTAATGCTCAGGTTGAGAATGCATGGAAATATACCTCCCTTCCTTTTATCTTCATGTTACTTGATTAAGCACAGAGGTAATTTTACCTTCATTTAACTTAATATCACAATATCTGTAGTATAGATCATAAGGTTGTGTTCAGTTCTAATCCCTCCTACAAAATGTTGTGATTGGGTGGCTAGCACCCTTGTTTTGTATTAGAGATGTCCCAGTTTAAAATCTGAGCTCAAAGACTGGCTATCTTGACTTGAGATTTTCTATTCATTCATACACTATACGTCCATCCAAAATGCAACTTGTTTATTATCTATGGTAATACTCAGTTGTTCCTAGGAAAATCTAGGATAATACTTGAAATTATGCCAAAACTGTTTCTTTTCACACCATTTCCAGTTCATTATTCAACAATGATCATATTTTTGAGACTATTCATTCATACACTATACGTCCATCCAAAATGCAACTTGTTTATTATCTATGGTAATACTCAGTTGTTCCTAGGAAAATCTAGGATAATACTTGAAATTATGCCAAAACTGTTTCTTTTCACACCATTTCCAGTTCATTATTCAACAATGATCATATTTTTTAGACTATTCATTCATACACTATACGTCCATCCAAAATGCAACTTATTTATTATCTATGGTAATCCTCAGTTGTTCCTAGGAAAATACTTGAAATTATGCCAAAACTGTTTCTTTTCACACCATTTCCAGTTCATTATTCAACAGTGATCATATTTTTGAGACTATAAATATGTAGAAAGCAGTCTTCTGGGATGTTGTTAACCGACGTTTTGGAGGAACGTATCGCCTCCATCTTCATAGTCCCCGCCGTGAAAACCTCAAATCTTACATATAAATATGTAGTTTGAGCTACTGACAGTGTTGCTGAATAAATAAGTACAGTCCCTGCTGTCCTATATGTCCCTTATGGTATATACTACTAATAAAACAAAATAACAGGAATAAACTATCCCTTTCTGCAGGAAACTTGAAGTGAAAATGTGACAGGCTTCACTTAGGCAAGGCTGATGTATGTTTCATTCTGACATCCAAGTTTAATTAAACCTGCATCTGCCATTTATCCCCTACTCTAAATAGATGGTAAATCACTGGCATTGTATACAAATTTCAATTTTGCATTAAAATCTTCTTGGGCAGTCATCAAAGTCCAGTTAAAAAGTAGCATTTCAGAGTACTTCATTGCCTTCATTGTCTGGGTCCATGTAGATCTGGTCAGCCCTTATGATGAAAACAGAGCAGGATTCTAGAACGTTAGTTTTAACCTAACTTTTACAAGGATGATTGCCAATGATTCTTCTTACACCAGCCTCTTTTCATGAATGCTCTCCACTGGTCCTGATCCTGTGACTTCTGTCCCCTATTTCTAATGCCCATTGTCTTCAAATCTTCAACTGAATCGAGCCACCAGATAGGTCTTCCTACTTGTTGAGTACCCTCTAGCCTCAGTAACAGTATCTGATCTACTGTTGATTTGCATTCTGGGAAGCCAAATTATTAATTTCCTACTATTATCTCCACACACCCGTTTGTAGCTGTTCATATACACCGTACAATTATTTTCCAGTATGCTTGCCCATAGCCATCTAACTTCTTGTATTGCTAAAAGATAAATGCTACATTCTTGATTTACTTCCATTAAATTCCTCAGTGCCCCACTTCTATAAAAAAGACAGCACATTCTAGGTTCAAGTGCTTAATTTCCTAGGTTATCTTATGTGTTCCCATCCAGCTGTAATCATTAAAACATCAACAATTTAAGCTTTTTATGGAGTGGAGTTGTCAACCCCATGTCCAACTCTCAACCAGGAGGACCAGGGTATCCCTTTTTGTCTGGATCATCATCTTTGATCTTTCCAGCATGGTATACCCTACCAGAAGCTATGCTCCACTGGCATAACTGTCAGGATCATATGACCATGCAGGCCCCACCACTGCACCTAAGCGGGGACTTGTGCACGGGGATTGCCCCATGATTACAGTGCATTTATTTGCTGTGAAAGCATCAGAATAAAAAAAAAATTGGTTTCGTTTTCTAACTCAAAGCAATTACGAAATACTTCTCCTTCAGCCTCATCCTTTTATAGAGAACAGAGAAAGAGAAAACAGCCTTAAATCATGAAAGAGCAGAAAAAGTCTTTAATTTTAAAATTAGAGAAATGGAAAAAATATTTTAACAGTTATTCAGAATAAATACTGCTGCAAACAATGATAATCATAGACCATCAGGTTAAACTGCAAACACTGTGCTGATTAATCTAGTAAATACAGAGGTCTGAAGATGAAGAAGAATTACATTCAGAATTTTTCAACTTTAATGTAAGTAAGAGTGTTTAAATGTGATCCAGGTGATGTTTGAACTGGCCAGATATCATGCTCCATCCACAATATTTCTGGATGAGCTGGATGCGCTTGCATCTCACCGAGATGCTTCACGTGAACATGAGGGGTCAAGACGTCTCAAGGCTGAGCTTCTGATTCAGCTTGACGGACTAGCACATAGCGAGGACAAGATCTTCTTTCTAGCTACATCCAATCTTCCATGGCAAGTGATAGTTTTATTGTTTGAGACTGTTGCTATTACTCATATAGAGTACTTCTAATGACAGTTCTCCAATCTTTCATCTTCTCAGCAGACAAGATTTTTATGTAATAAAAATGACAAAAAAAAGAAGTTCTGAGAAGAAGTAATCACTTACGTTCCCTGATGCAACACACACTCCACAGAAAATGATGTGTTCAACAATTCTTATATTGTTACATAAATTCATTGTTGCGGTAATGTTTTTACTGAGCTGTTACTTAGCAACAACAGAGAGATACACATACAGACACGGAGACTGATGAGAGGGATTTATGAAGTATGCCACTGAGATGCGCTTGGGTGCCGTGATGTACATATCAAGTTTAATAAAGACTGGTTCAGCCATTCAAATTTTGATTGGGGGTGTGAGGGAACATACCGGCAGCATGAAGAATACATAAGCCTACTTTATTTTCCCAAAATAAAGAAAGCCTTAAAAATTGTAAAATTTTGCTCTCAAAATGCATGAATTTGCTATTAAATGACACATGTACTTACATAATTGACATACTGTGTTCATGATGATATGCGCCTAAGTTCCCATTTGTACAGTTTCTTCTGGTTATAATTGGCTTTTAAGTATGTCACAGTGTTTATTTCTATACTTTCTGCAGTAAGTTTGTGGTGCTTCCCTGTCAGGATAAGTATGTATGTGCAGAAGAACAGGGGTATTCAATCATTTTCTTACTGCAACATGCCAACTTGTATTTGAACGTTATCTCAGGTGATATGTTTTCTCACTCGAAATTTGTTTCCTGCATGCTTCACAAAATATAATTCATCATTTGTTTTGTAATGTCCATCACATCCAATGCAACTATAACATCAAATGTATGTACTCTCATATCTGCCCACGCTGTTCTTAATTGAGAATTCTTTATACCATACCACATTACTGGGACAACGTTAATGAAAGACATTAAATGAAATCAGGCACACAAGTAATCATTTCTGTTGCCTGAATGACCCAGTACAATATGTGCAACTGTTGCATATCATGAACCAAAGTTTCAAGTTCCACCTCCCTCTCCCTTGTAATGCAACACAGCATTTACATTGTAAGATTTGAGGCTTTCACGGCGGTGACTATGAAGAAAGCAGTCTTCTGGGATTTGGCACCATGTATATGTGGTGTTAACCGACGTTTTGGAGGAATGTATTGCCTCCATCTTCAGGGTAGAAGGAAAAATATAAGAAATCCGCAAGCGAAGAGACTGTGAGAACCGGTAAAAGCAGAGTAAAAGCAGATGGAGGTGATACGTTCCTCCAAAACGTTGGTTAACACCACATATACACGGTGCCAAATCCCAGAAGACTGCTTTCTTCAGCATTTACATTTATTATACTTTACTACACAATGTGTACGGTAATCTGCCATTTCCATTGTTTCACAGGGAACTGGATGCAGCTATCTTACGACGCTTGGAGAAGAGAATTCTAGTGGATTTACCAAATGCAGAAGCTCGCCAATCAATGATTCAACACTACCTGCCATATGTAGTAATAGAAAGGCCTGCATTGCTGTGTCAAATGGACTATGGGTTGGTGGCGCATGTATGTTTCAATACAGTTATTATTGAAATTGAGACCCAAGACAAGACGGTACAATTACATGGTGTAAATAATGAATCAGAGCAGTCTGTGGAACACTGGACCTGAAAGTTGAAAGTAACCTATGAACACTTCAAAACAGACTACTCCAAAATGTAAATCTAAAGTCTATCTAATAGTAGAACAGTGATGTATCATCAGTTGAGGTATGCCAATTTTTACAGGCCTATAAATTCCACACACAGAGCTCTTTTTCCTAATAACGTCAATATAATAGGTGCTTCATTTCTTTCTTATAAGCTCCAGATGACATGTGATTTCTTGATGTCCTCCTGGGAATGAAATTTTATGATACCATCATTACTGGCAACAACCAACTGCAAAACCTCTTTTCAGTTACCACAAGTTACAGGCTATGAATATGTTACATACATGTAGAGGTAAATGTAAAGTTGTCTCTGTTCTTAATTGGTTAAGCACTATGCCATGAAGAAATATGGGAGAGTGGAGGTATAGCTCCATCATTCTTGACCTTGGCACTAGATGGAGGTGAGTGTTCAGCTTCATGTCCCTTTCACTTTACCCCTGAGAAAACAGCCCCTTGTACCCATTGGTTAGGAGGCTTTGTAGGCCCCATATATGCTCTGGATGCTGTAGAGAAAACAAATATCTGGTATTGCCAGGAATTGAACCTGGGCCATCCAGCAGTCACCATACCACTATACTAACTGAACAATCCTGGCCCCCTATTACACATAGAACAACTTTAAATATGTGATTCATGATAGTTTTCAAATGCTCACAAAAAAAACACACACACACACATAACCACACAGAATCAAGCAGGAGCTGCAAATTTTCAGTCTACAGCCATATCTCTTCACTACCTGACTTTAAAGCACCAATTTTTGAAACCAAGACTCACTGGACAATACTGGACAGTACCTCCACCCACTGTGAGGCCACAGCAGGAAACTTCGCTGTTGCAACCAAAGCAATGGGAAAAGGAAAGCATGGTCAAGAGAAACTGGCAGAAATAAACATACATACTCTTCCTAATTCCACATTAACTTATTACAGTTTCTTGACTGTAAAGCAGTGGATAACAACATTACTTACAGATACAAATATGTTAAAGATTTTGTAAATGTTGGTATTACACTGTGCATCCTGTAATAAATTGTTCTAGCATCACACTATGAGACCTTGAATGCCCAGGACTATTTTTCTGTTAAGTTGCCTATATAAGGTAAAATACATCCCTTTCAAATAATATATGGAGAATAACATTAACCTAATAAACCAAAAATTACTCCATTTGATTTTCATGGTAACATAATTTAACAAAGAGAGTCATCAATTTACAGTTGAGGAATATACATATATATTTGAAGCAAAAAGGAAACAGACCACTAAGAAGATCAAAACACAGGTGGGTGAATAATACCAGTTTTAAATTGAACCTTAAGAGAGATGGGATGGGGTTGTATGGACTGGATTGACCTGGCTCATGATCATGATAGGGACCAGTGGAGGGCTCTTGTGAACATGGTAACAAACCTTGGGGTTCCATAAAATATAGGAAAATTCTTAAGTAGTTGCACAACTGGAGGCTTCTCAAGAAGGGCTGATCTCTGTTGCGTTAGTTGTATATTTTAAGTTAAAAAGTAGGAAACTGTTGTGAAGCCATGGTATTTGAACTCATGGACTGACATGCTCATTTATTGCATCCTGTGCAATAGGTCGGAAATATGCAGTATTTTAAACATCTTTGATAAAAATTATACACTGAATACTGCAGCATAGTGATTAGCAGTTCATCTTCATATTTGAGAAGTCTTAGGTTCAAATCACAGGCCAGTGACCAACTATGCTGACTTTATTTTACTGTTCCCTGCCATTTCTGTAGACAACTTCTGGGACAGCATCTTACAGCAGTCCACAGCTGTTACCTTGACACCTTTCAAATTTATCATTTACAGTCATTGTACTGAAGATAATTCTTGTTGAAAGTGATGTCGTGTAGTTTGGTATATAGGTATAACCATTTTAGACTTGGTATGTCTACCAAACTACACAAGTATTGAGCTACCTGCTGGTCGATACGCTTAAACTGGAAGGGAAACTGAAAGAAATCCAAATTCAAGGATCACTGATGAATAAGGAGATAGGCAGGGCCAGCCAACTCTGGATATGTATGTAAAATGAACAGGGGAGAGTGGAACCTGTCATGGAATGTAATCAGTCAATCCAAAATTTTATGGGCTATAGGTACTTTTAAAATCATTTAAATCAGCAGGAGCAAATGAGGCTTCACCTGCACTTCTGCAACAAAGGAAGGAGTGTGTAGTATATACAGAGTCTGGCATGCGGACATATTGCTGAAGCCTGAAGACAGATAAAAGTGACATTTATATAAAATCCCAGGAAACCTGACGATTCTGAGGTTAAGGTAGTCAGTAAAGCACCTGACAATTATAGATTCATCTATGAACTGGTCTCACACTGGCATCAGTCCCTCATGAAACTGATTATACAGAGTTCAACTGGCATGTGTGCTGGGTAACTGGGAAAATGAAGGAAATGAAAAATGTTCATCAGGTGGAAAAAAAATGGATTTCAATAACCATTTGTGGTACCTGGTAGCAGCATGTGACGTCTCAGTAGGAATTGCCATGAAGGCTGTGACGGACAGGTTGGACAGAGACCATAGGAAACATCGGGTGTCTGTAACAGGACAAGAACATACAAATGGCTTCCTTCAAGGACCTTGTGCAAATAGAACTGTGGAACAATTTGAACAAAATGGCAACTGAGGTTGGTGACAGAACTACTTACAGGACACTGTCAAGCGGCCTCCATAGTCTAGGGGTAACGTTCCCACGTCATGACTCAAGGTATGCGGGTTCAAACCCAGCAGAGGTCCCTCCAGGAGGGACTTTAAGCTGTGTCCCCCGTGTTGTAGATTTATGGCACGTAAAATTTCCTCATGTCTCTAGGAGACCTCTGAGCAAAATTAGGCAAGTTTCCCACCCAAGTTCCAATTCCTCTGGTAGATGGGGAAGTATTGGGGACCACTACTGGAGATGGTTATCCTCCAATACATTTACATCATCAGAACACACCAACAGCTGATGTGTCTCATTGAATTTCAGTCCTGCCTCGTTTTCTTGGAAGTTCCTAATGTCATATTCTAAAGCAAAGTTGAAAAGAAATGGCAATAAAGCATCTCCTTGTTTTAGAACATTCTGAATAGGAAATGTATCAGACAAATGTTTACCTATATTAATTTTACTACAGGTTTCATTCTGAATAGTGTAAGATGTGAAGCTAGCAGACATTTCAGGAACAAAAAGAGAGAATATGTTGAGGACAAAATTAATCAGCTTGCACCACACAGTAACAACCAGAAAATTAGAGGCTTTAAGAATTTAAGAAGGGTTACCAGTCTAGAATTAACTTAGTAAAGGATTAAGAACTGTGATCTGCTTGCAGATTCCCACATGTATATCTCTGTGTATCTTGAGACACACATTCAAGATAAACTGATGATAGAATATCTTAAATAATGTTATGAAAGGGATAGTTAACACAACCCCTAAAAAAGTACAAAGAGACATACAACATACATACATATGGATGCACTAGAATTCCCTTTTGGATAATCTGTCAGTTTATTTTTGTACACATCTAGTTTTAAGTCCAGTGGTTTGAGCTCACTGTGTTTGTTGTACAGGCATCAGCTGGCTATTCAGGTTCAGACATCAGATTGGTGTGCAAGGAAGCAGCCATGAATGCACTGCGGGAGGCTTTCTCTGTTCTTGAAACATGTCAAAATGGTAAGTACTCGCACCTTCCTTCAGAGTTTTTGAACTTGCAAATATTACAGCCTTCTGGGATGACACAATGTAGTTTAGTAGATAGATGCCAATGTTTCAGAAGAACCTGCTGCCTCCTCTCCCTGCAGATGGAGGCACCTTCTGTGTCTTTAATGCTGTGACATGAAGCCTGAAAGATGGAATAGTGGAGTGGGAGAAGTGCTATGGATGCATCCATTGCTAGGCAATGGCTCGGTGATCATATTCCCTTAGCAACGAATAAGCACACAACAATAGAGGAACTGTTTGACAGTGTTTTCTGTTTGGTCTGTCCTGAAATTATATAGGGAGGGCCAACAGAAGCAAGACCACTTTGGAACCAAAAATCACTGTGCTTGCAAAGGGCAGCAGAAATTTAGCAGTCAAGGCCACTGTGCCATTACTGTAGAAGAGGGGGAGTGACCAGTAGCTGTCAGACCTCTCTTCTCATCAAAGAGGAAGACCCATTTCAAAACACATACAAATCTGAACAAAAAGAAATATATATGGTCATGAGACCCAATGGGACCTGAAACCAAGATTGATTGTGCTGGCAATGTCCAGCAGCAATTTACCCAACCTGAACCAACCCAAGACTGTTGTGAGCTCTCCCCCAGTGGAGGAATCATGACCAGTAGTAGTCAAACCCCTACTCTTGCCAAAGAGGAGATCCCATTTCAAACATGCAGAAGTCTGGAAAGAACAAAAATATGGCTATTTGTCCTGAAACAAAGATTGAATGTGCTGGAAAAGTGCAGCAGTAATTTACTCAACTGACCAATGGGACCACTGTTAGCAATCAGTCACCAAGACCGCAGGCTGTCGAGCATGGAAACAGCAGAGCATCCCTGTTGTTGGAAGCCACTACCAAGCAATGGGAATCTGAAAACTTATGGAAAGACTTGGATAGTGCTGCAGTTATTCAGAAATTGTGTAGAATAGTGCAAGTGTTGTGATTATCTGTAGCTGAGAGAAATAGCAGTGAATAAGTTCAATAATAAATCCAAATTCTGTGCCTAGTCACATAACAGTATTCACTGCTGTGAGAACCTCAGATCTGAAACCGATATGTGAACTTGGAAGATCATACTTAAATGGACATAAATATTCAGTGTTAATCCTTTGCATACTACATACCACTACCTGAGCCCATGGCACCTGCATTAAAACCACCGCAGTCAAAGAAATCAGCTCACTCTTAATCATTTCTGTCAACATATGGCATCCAGTGTGACATAAATATTTAGATGAAAGAATGGACTTCCTCGATATTTCTGTGCTTATTTCACACAAAAGCAAGGTATTGTGGGTTTCCTCTGCAATGACATTTACTCGCAAGCAGCCTAATGGTCTTTAGCAAGCATTCCTATGGCAGAGCTTGGCAGGTGAAGGATTAAGTCAGTCCCATGTCATCACAGTATATTTAAGGACCATATTCAGGAACATCTGGAATATGAAAACAGGAAATTCTGGGAAGAACTAATCACCTGATTTCTTTAATATGCTACAGACCTCACAAGAAAAAAAAATGAAACATCCACTGACAACTCTCCTACTGTTGTGTATTTGCTGTTGCATTAATGTTCTGACCAAGCCATTGCCTAGCAACAATACAGGATTTTTATAGAGCCACTGCCTAGCAACAATAGGGGGATATACACATAGACACACAGACTGATGGTTGGGAGTTACAAAGTATGCCATTGAGATGGGCTCAGGTGCCATGATATAAATACGAAGTTCCTTAAATATTGGTTCAGCCATTCAAAACTTAATACAGACACACAGGGACAGCATGCTGATTGATCACATACTTTCATTTTCACAAAATAAGGAAAGTAGGTCAAAAATGTGTTCAAGCCGATTTTGAAGGAATGATAATAGTGTAAATTATATAAATTAGCAAATGGCATAGGAATTCTCTTATATAAAATAATGTTTGTGTTATATTCATAATTTATTCTAATTTTCACAGATGAAAGTATGCCAAATTTGAAGCTGAAAAATATAACAACTGAGGATCTGCAAAGTGCTCTGAAAATCACAAAACCTTCAGCTGTGCACCTTGCACCACGTTACCGGAAGTGGAAATGTGCATTTGGCTCCACTTAAAAGGATCTCATTCAACTGAGAATTTCTTCCAAAAAAAAGTCTGCACCTGTACTGATGTAGGTCAATATTATTCACTAGAATTACGAAGAGATGACAAACGACTTACAGAATTCATTCTAGGTTGTTACTAGGAAAGTGTATGTGACGAGTTATTACCCTTACTGTACCAAATATCTGTAAATACACTTCTATATATTTATGTATGACTGTCTGAATATATGAGAAAGTGAACCATAATACATGTCTTCATATCTCTCTGCCAGTTCTTCAATCTTTAGTTTATCATATGAATTTTTCGACAAGGAGGCTATTTTTTTCCCACAGATATTTTTGGCTTATTTTCTGTCAGTAACTATGCAGCACCGAATGGCAGAAAGACTAGTGAACAATGAATTGGAGAGGATTTGGAAGGAGGTAGTCATAGGCTAATCAAGTATTATCCTAGCATTTACATGGAGAGATTGATGAAAACCACGAAAAACCTGGGTCATGACCACCACTGTCTCTGCTGAGATTTGAACCAAACAACTCCAAAATTTGGGTCTAGAGTGTTGCTGCTATATCACACTGCTTGGTCCATATTTATTAACAGGAATAGAAAAATGGACCTATTATTTTGTCAAAAGAGTATCATTTTAATTTCTTACAAATGGCCATCCAAAGAACTGTCAATTAGGTCTCTCCATGGAATTGTTTCCAAGTTACAGCAACTTCTGTTGTGTCCAATACACCAAACAACTGAAAGTTTTAAGAACTTTAGACTGTCTCTACAAAAGTATCTGCTCTAAGAATCTTATAACATAATTTATTTCTTCTATTGTTTCAATAGTTTCATTGAGTTTAAAAAACTGGTAAGGGTTAAGAAAATACTGTGCTTTCGTACTGTCTCGTTTGGAACACCATGTCTGAAACATTCAAATACTGTCACCTTTCTTATAAGATATCCATATACCACTATTCAAACTATTTTAAAAATGTCCACAAATACACTGTGTCCCAACAAATTGTAACCCACTGTCATACTTGTCATATTAAAGTCACAAATGATCCAAAGCACACCGACACATTTAAAACAGCACTGAAAGGAACAGCATGCTTCTTATATTGGTGCTGGTGGAATAGTAGCACAGGCAGTTTCAATTTTGTGACTCAGGTCCCGGAGTACTCTTGGTTCTGTAGCATAGTGTTCTTTGCGGTACCCCAAAGGCAAAGGCTACAGGTGTTAAGTTAGGAAATTGAGGTGCATACTCAACACTTCCTTCTTGTACCACCCACCTTTGGGGAAATGAACACTCGATATCACCTTCTAGCAGGGTGTACCAGTATTTTGTGCCATGCTCTTCTTTCAAATTTCAAACCTTATATTAATTCAAAACACTATCACTGTGTCCCTTTTGTTGTAACTGACATCACATAACCTAGGTAGCCGACCAAGGCTCAGTGGTAGAGCAGACCATGTCATCCTCACCTGTGTTATTAACACCCATATTGTGCACGCATTTTAATATGTCACTTCAAATGCAATCATTGTAAGAATTCATTATAGCAACAAATAAATAAAATAACACCTACAATTCGCATTCTATTATAGCACTTTTGGGATCTGCTCCTCTTTCATTTTTCCTAGATATTCGTACCAATTTTCCCAATATTCCTTAATTACAGATAGCAATGAGTTCATCTGAAGATCTTGTCCTATGAAGGGTTCTATCTTCTAGAATATAATGCTGTATAGTTCATTGGAAGTCAACAGACACTTTAGAGGAACATGTTGCATCCATCTTCAGGGATGAAGCCAGACACCCAGCAAGAATCCAATGTAACAGGCAACAAGCAAAGCAAGTGATTAGCAGAAGTTTAGGGTAATATAGAAACAGAAGGATCATAGAAACCAATCCATCAGTTCCTTCTGCCTCTTTCAGAGAACAAGGGTGAATCAAGAGTAGACAAGACAAGAGTAAGTAGGTATTGGTCACGCCATAGCTCAAGCGGTTAGTCGCATGCTTCCCACCACGACGGCCCAGGTTCGATCCCAGGTCTGGTCAAGTGGGATTTGTGGTGGACAAAGTGGCACTGGGGCAGGTTTTCTCCGTGTACTTCAGTTTCCCCTGCCAATCTTCAAACTTCATTCCACCAATTGATCCACAATCACCCTCACCTATCATTAGGGGCTGGTACAATAGGCCAGAAGTGGCCGCAGTACAAGGGACTTGGTCCCACCCCACTAGCAATTAAAATGAAAACTAGGTATTGCCTAGAAAGGGCACCTATGGAAGCCCAGGGGAAATCGTAGGTGGGTAGGTAGGTAGGTAGGTAGGTAAGGGTGCATGTGTGTGGCAGGGAGGCTGAGAACTGAGGAAGGCCGGTAGAGGAACGAAAGGCTTAGGGTTGATGGGTATGTGGAGGGAGGGTAGCATTGGTACCCTGATAAGGGCAGTGTTCATGGACCTACATGGCCCAGTGGAGAACCTACACAGAGAACCTGCAACGGCAGCTTCCTAGGTTGTTCTCAGGATGAGACAAGAAGTTTCCATGACTTGCTGAGGCAGACACCATCCCCCTGTTCAGATTATTGGCATGGAGCTCAACTGCCTCCTTGATGATACAATCCGTACATCTGGATTTGGTGAAAAAAGATTCTGATGTTACAGAGCTGGATGCTTCACCCCCAGCTGATGTGCTGTTCTGAGACTTCAGCTTTGGCATGCTCTAGTGCAGATCTTCACTGCCCTTACCTGAGAACTAACCCTGCCCTCTCTGTGCACCCAATAACCTGAAGCTTTTTCTTCCTTTCGTGGTCTTCCTCCACTGTCTTTGTTCTTCTCCTCCCTAACTGCATACATCTACAAAACACATATTCTCTCCAACCCTCCTCAGTTCTCTCCCCACACTTCTATATGTGCCCACCAGTCCCTTCAAAGGCCAAACTTAGTCACTCTTCTCCTGTCTCCTACTGGTTCGGCCTGATTCTTTGAATGAGCCAATAGGAACTGAGAGGCTGGTTTCCAAAGTCCCTTCTATTTCTATATAATCCCATGCTTCTGCAAGTCACTTAATCTGCTTGCTGCCTGCTTCATAATGGTTTCTTGCTTGGCTTGCTGTTCAATCCTGAACAAATTCCTCCATGAGGTCAGTTGACTGTCAACAGACTACATGGCATTATATTCCAGAAGACAGAACTCTTCACAATCACAGCTGCAACCTCAGATCCTATAATCAAAACTTGTCTTTGATATGTTTCTTATCTCATAATCTGTATCCTGCATGTATCTGCTACTTCATTTCGTTTTCTTTGCTGTAGACTCAAAGTTCTGTTCTTCATATGATACAGCAGAGCAGAAAGTGCAAGGACGATCTTTGATACTATTCTTGTAACATCAAACAGTAACTTTAAAGGTAAACTGAGAAACATTATCATGATACGATTATTAATGGAACAATACTGAGGATGTGAACAGAAGCCATACACATAAATTCAATGGAAACTGAACAGGGAATTTAAAGAATTCTCAGTGTGATCAATAAAACATAGACTAGCCATCATGAAATCCTTCAGTGTATTATGTTTGGACCCTGCTTTTAAGTAAATACAAAATCTTTTTTTTTTCTCTCATACTAAATCCGTATGTTTGGTTTTATATTTTAAGTAACTTGACTGAACTTAAACTTTCAAACAGTCTGTATTAGTATCTACAAATATGTATTGTAATGGATTTGATCAACGCACTGTCAGGCAACAGCTCTGTAACCACTGTTCAAAATACAACAATATAGGAACTTGTGCTTTCTGCAGATCTCACCGACCCGCCAATAGACTGGCCGGATACCGATCACATGATATGTGTTTATTGTAGGTACATGTCCCTTCCATGGCTATATAAGAGTGACAGAATTCATTAAGGGCAGTTATAAGTCAGTCATAAGCTGGAGGAGTGAGTCCAGAAGAATTTTTAGTTCCAAGGTTCCAGATTGACTGAATATGAAATAGCAAGAAGATTTCATAGTGATTTGAAGCATTAGTTTCTGTATTGAGATTCGTTGCCAGGAGATGACAAGTGAAGATGGACAATCCTAGTGTGCGTGTGCAACGGTGAACTAGAGTGTGTAAATCAGCAATAACGCTGTATTTAAGCATGATTAAAAGAACTTGTAACCAAGGTGCTAATAAATCCAATCATCCAAACCAGAGCCCGTATTTTGTCATGCATACCAGTATTTTATATTTAATACTACTGCAGAATTCATTCAGAGGAGCACTGGCATTAAGCGTGCAGAAATTAAATGGAACCATATGGGTGGCAGTGCTAGGGATGTAGAGAGCACAGCCATGTTCATGTTTCCCTCAAGTTCATTAAATCTGCTTTCTGTTGCATGCTGTCAATGAGTTCAGAAGGTAATTCAGTTTTCAAGGTTTTCTCAAGTCCCTTGTGGCAAATATCCCGATATTAGTACCTCAAATTAGGCAATAACTGCTTCTTTCTTAGAGGTGGGATAGCTCAGTAAGTATAGTCATGGGCAACATGCTGGATGGCCAAGGAATTGGGGTTCAACTCCTGGCAGGGGCAAGAGATTCTTTCCCTTCTCCATATCATCCAGACTGGCTCTGAGGTTCTCCCAGTCTCCTATCCAATGTGTACCAGGGTCTTTCTCCCTGGGTGTAAAGCAGTCGGAGTGTGAAGCTAACCACATACCTCCAACTAGTGCTAAGGTGAAGACTGTGGAGCTATACCTCTACTCCCCCATAAGACTTCATGCCACAGTGCTCAACTAATTAAGTGCTGGAACACCTTTACATTACCTGTTTCTTTCTTTCGAATCCTTTTAAATTCATTATTCATTACGTACCCTATCATTTAATGCTCTAAAATCTAGTAAGATCTAAAATTTTGTGGCAATGGTATATTAATACAATTACTGACTTTTTGGACATTATCAACTGTCCTTTCTTTAATTAAAAAAATGACATTTTGGAAACTGGACTCTGTCTCCATCCTCAGGCCTACTCAGTTGGGTCCAACTGAGAGAGCTAGTCCCAGGTCTGGAGATAAGGACTAGCTTTATCGACCGTGCCCAACTGTGTAGGTTTCTTACCTGAGGATGGAGATATAGTCCAGTGTCTGAAATGTCACTTTAAATAAAAGAAGAAGTTCTGGAAGAACTAATTGCCTACTTAGCTTTGTTTTCTCTGCGGGAAGCTCCAAGGTTATATAAACAGAAAACAACACAAACAGAGAGTTAAGGTGATCTCATAAGCCTCCTTTTATTTTTTGAAATAAGGAAAGCAGACTAAAACCTGGACAATGGATAATGTCCCAAAAAGACAATAATTTATGAAATGTGATGTACAAAAATTGTCATTAAAAAAACTAAGAATATGCAGGAACAAGACATAACTTACCAAGACACTGCCTCCTCACACAAGACGTAACATATTTGAACACCACCATTAGACAGTATACCAATTTTGCTGTGTAAAATGACTTACACCATCTTCACAAAATTCTGTACTGCAACATCTTTCATGTGTATTGTACAAGTTCCATTTTCCAAAAATATTATTCTACATAACAGAATCCAGCACTTATAAAGTCATAACCGATAATTTCTTGAAAAAAGCATTATTCTTTCTTTCTTGTACTGAAGCACAAAACCTGCCATGAAAACCTCAAACCTTACAAGAATATTTATGATTTCACTTTTTTCTGGAAGAATTACTGCTGAAATTACCGCCAGTTGGAGAGAAGTTCTTTGCTTGCTTCAAACCTTGATAGTAACCTACAAAAAAGCATACAATATCTGCAGTGGTTACAAGTTTTAAGAAACACGGTTGTCAGCTGGGATAGCACAGTCAGTATATAGTGACTGGCTTCTGGCTGGGTGACCAAGGGGTCAGAATTTGAGTCCTGGTGGGGGCAAGACTTTTCATTTCTCCATGTTGTCCAGACTGGCACTGGGGCCTTCACAGCCTCCTATCCAATGAGTACCTAGGGCTCTTTCCATTGGGGGGGGGAAGCTGCTGGGACGTCAAGCTGACCACTGACCTCTGTCTAGTGCTGAGGTCAAGAAAACGTGAATCCATACATCAACTCTCCCATGTCTTCTGACATAGCGCTTAATTAATTAAGCACAGGGATGCCTTTTTAAGTTGTCAATTAAAAGCTGAGTGAAAGATCAAATGTGAAAACTGACAGAAACCAAAATATGATGTACTCTTATAATTTACTGTTCAAAGTATGGTAAAGAAAAATATCTTTATACATTAATATTCTTCTCTTACTTTATAGGAAGCAGTATATGGCGAAAATGATTTGTTACATGAATACATAAGTACCACAGAATAAAAAAGAAGTTCTTTGATGTGTCAGTATAGACAATAATCTACAAGTAAATACAGATAAAATCTGATTATGAGCATGTCAGAAGCCAAATCTCTCACCAAGCCCTAATAAAGTTATAAACATACCCTCGTGAAAACTGTAAAGAGTGAATATTCCAAGGGGAAGCATCCTTCTAGGCAATGCCGTGTTCCACAGTTCATAAAAAAGGAGTATGACTGTCTACATTTGCAAGTTCTGTGTAATGCCACTTCACAAAGGGGAATGTTGCCAGAAATATCACACTCTCAAGCACTTCTAGGTGCATTGGTAAGTGTTCTCCAAAAATTTTAGTTCATAAAATTAATAAAGAGATTTTATATTAATTTTTAAAGTGAACAGTGCACAAGTTAGGGTAATAGGTTTAAAAATGCCGGTCCCCAGGGGGATTTAAATATTTAAATTGCAGGTCCACAAAGTGTTAAATACCTATTACTATATGTGTCTGGTTTCATATTTAGATGTGTTGAGACAGGAACAATTTAAGTGTTTATTGAATAACAAAACAGGATGCATTGCTTGAAGATCTGTTCACCATATCTGCAAATACATAAATGATCCTATACACACCAAAGTAGCTACTCAACAAACTACAGGTATATGATCCTACATCCTATGGTGGATCAAGTTCTACACATGAACAATATCTGTACACAAGCCTGGAAATAAAATGTTAAAAAATTAATCTTGCTAAATATGTTAATGTAACATGAGGTATATCCATCTTGAAAAACTATTAGGTGGTTCAAATATGAACAGGACTGATTTTTTTGTAAACAAGCTGCACTGCGCAGCAGCTGTGCGACCTTGAGAGATTGTAGCCACAACCTCCACTCTCCCTCCTGTTAGGGTTAGAACCTGTTCAGTGCTGTCTGGGAGTTGCTAGAGGGATGAGCGTACAGAAGGTACCGCGGAGCGTGGAACAACGCATTGTGATCAAATTCATCGGTGGAGAAAATGTCCCGTCCGCTGAAATTCACCAGACTCCAACAACAGTATGGGGAAGAGTGTCTCTCACGGACCTGTATGTTTGAGTGGTGTAAGTGCTTCAGAGAGGGCAGAGAGCATGTGGAGAATGAACCGCATGATCGTCGGCCGTGAACATCCGTCACCGAGCCAAACACTGGTCGTGCAGACGCACTTATTCGTGAGAATAGGCGCATCACTATCAAGGAACTTGGAGCAATGCTGTCCATCAGTGTTGGTAGTGTAGAAGACATTGTGAAATATCACCTGCACTATCGCAAGGTGAATGCACGGTGGGTACCATGCACTTTGACGGACGTGAACAAAATGGTGCGCATGCAAGCTGCCAGTCATCTCCTAGAGCAGTCTGAAGATGAAGGTGATGCATTTTTGAAGTCTATAGTGACCACCGATGAAACGTGGGTGCACTACTTCATTCCCGAGTCCCAGCAATCATCACGCGAGTGGCGGCATACCAGTTCTCCCAAACCCAAGAGAGCGTGGAGGAGCCATTCAGCAGGAAAAGTGATGGCACATTCTTCTGGGACAGGCAGGGGGTTATCCATTTAGACTTTCTGACAGATGCCAGAACAGTCAATGCAGCTTATTACTCAGCCCTCCTGGCAACAGATGTGAAGGAAAAGATCCGATCCAAGCGGAAGAGAGGTGGAAAGCGGGTAGCCTTCCTTCAAGAGAATGCACGCCCCCATACGGCCAAAACAACAATGGAAACCCTCCGGAAATTGAAATGGAACCTTCTGACACATCCACCGTACAGTCCCGATTTGGCACTAAGTGATTTCTACCTGTTCGGAAGGCTCAAATCAGACTTGCAAGGCATGTGGTTTGTGGACGACGCCATCATCCAGAATGTTAGGGAGTAGATACGCCGCCAACCACAAGACTTTTTTGAAAAGGGCATCAGGATGCTTCCAGAACGTTGGAAAAAATGTGTTGACTCCGGAGAGGAGTACGTTGAAGACTGACATGTGCAAGTAAGTGTTTGGCAATTTTGGTTTAAAAAAAAAAATCAGTCCCGGTCATATTTGAACCACCTTGTATATAGTCAACATGCACACAATCAAGTAGAAACCTAGGATGATTTTCTATTGTATCCACATGCAAGCTTTAGCTATATTTACTATGTTCATAGTTCCTCTCACCTGTGTGGAAACCACTCATGTACCATGACATCAACATTGCTGACAGAGCTTCAGCATCCTCCTCAGGGAAGCTGGCAGTCAAATGAGGTGGAGGGGGTGGCGGGACTACCATTGGGGGTATGCCCTACAACAAGTTTACTGAGCTCTGAATTCTGTTGCAGTTAACATAACCTTATTTTTAGTACTACTATACAGAGTGATTCATATAGAACCGGCCTGACGAAATGAGCTGTAATATAAAATATACCATACAGATATTAAAGTAATTTACACATATCTTATCTTGGATTGTGTGCCATGATCAGAGCAGGTGTTGAAAGTGTCCGCCTCCACCTGCATTTGCATATTCGCCGTGACTCGCTGCAGTGTTTCTTCAGTGATGTTCCTGATTTCAGCCAAAATGTTGTCCTTTAAATCCTGTAACGTACGCGGTTTGTTTGCATATAGCCTGTCCTTCAGTAAACCCCAGAGAAAAAAATCCAGGCAGGTAAGGTCGGGGGATTTGGGACCCCACATCTTTTTAAAGATGACTCGATCGGGAAAGAAGCTCTCAATCAGTTCCATGGACATGTTGGACGTGTGGCATGTCGCTGACTCCTGCTGAAAGTAACCCTGTGTAAGTTCCACATCATGCAGCTGCTGCATGAAATCGTAAACAATATGGCAGTATAAGGTGCTGTCCACAGTCGTGTCAAAGAAGATCGGTCCAATGATTCGTAAACCAGAAATGGCACACCACACACCCACTTTTTGTGGGTGTAGTGGTGATTCAGCAATCTCATATGGGTTTTCAGATGCCCAGATCCTGGAATTTTGTGCGTTTACATATCCTGATAAGTGGAACCATGCTTCATCACTAAACCAAGTGATATCCAAAATTCTGGAGTTGTCGTGCACGAATTCCCAAAACCATAAACGGTACCGTACCCATTTATCTTTATCAACATCACACAATTCCTGAACACTGGTGATCTTGTAGGGACAAAGATTCGCTTTCTTTGCAGCCTGTTGACACGTTGAATAAGAATACCTGGTTTCCTGGCTTAGATGTCGTAATGATTTCTTGGGAGACTGCAGTAACCTGTCCCGCACAATTGCAATCATTTCTTCTGGCATTTCTGGGCTGTTTTTACCACGTTCACTTAAAAGTGTCCCTGTCCTTTCCAATTTCTGAGCCAAGGACTGTATAGTCGATTTTGCTGGCTTCTTGCGAACTCCAAACTTCCTCCTGAATTCCAATTGTGTGTTCGCAATCGAGCCTGTCACCCAGTATGTGCACACGAGAAACACTCGCTGTTCAACAGTGAACTCCATGACTGTTGCCTGCGCATTGCAGACACACTTCGGGATTGTCCTTAACCTTGCAGCATAAGGGCAGCCACTTGCCGGATCATGCACACACCATTTGACTCAGCATAGCCAACGGATTATTATGTCGTAATTGTGAGCGGTTATATGCATCACTTGCGGAATTATTAGCAAATTCATCGGGCTAGTTCTATATGATTCACCCTGTATTATATACTATACTATTATATATATTCTTCCTGGGAGTAAAGGGCAGCAGGCAACTAAGGCTGAGGCAACCTCACTGCCATCTGTGAGCCGACTTTCTACAAAATGTTGGAGCCTCAGCGTCTCACAAACCTATTGGCCTCCATGCCATATTAAAGGGATAGCTTTTACCATTTTTTACAATTATATTTTATGCAGATGACATTCCCAAAGTAAAGCTTCCTTCAGAAGAATTTCCTTCATTTAACTGCAATTTCTATTACCATGCATATCTAAGATTATGGTCTTTTGGGGTAAGATCATATTCAGAGTAGCAGATGGGTACCACTGTTTCCAAGGAACCTGCTGCCTACATCTTCAGGACATAAGAAGAGAGAGGAAGCAGGTTCCTCTGAAATGGTGGTACCCCATCTATACAGCATTACATCCCCAAAAGACCTTACTCTTAAAATTCATCATCATTCACAAAATTTGCCATCATTAAAGCAGTTATTCTTCAGGGAAGTAAACATGTTGCCATTCTTAAATAAATGAACTTATGTATTCCTAGACCCCATGAATGGTATCTCCACCTTATCGTGGTGGTGGGGTTTGAGAGCTCCTGAGACCCCGAGAGTTATGCCGGCAGTAGCATAGCTACTGGTAGGGCCACCCATGCTGGACAGGTCAAGGGGTAGGAGCCAGACAGAGAGGGATACCCTGGTCCTCCAGCTTGGGGGTTGGGCATGAGGCCGACAAGCTCACACCGTAAAAACTAAATTGTTCAGAAATCTGAGGAAAGAGTAGCCGGATGGACCTATTCAAGACGACCTGGAAAATGTTTAAAGGATTTTAAAATTGGATCTTGGAATATATTATCTTTTTACAGAGCCGGAGCACTAAAAATGCTACTTGAACAACTAGATATCACTGCTATACAAGAACTGAGGTGGTTGGGTAAAGGAGTCGTGGAAAAGAGAGATCATTTTGTGCTCTATAGCTGTCAGAAGAAGAGTCACATGTTTGGAACAGGATTTATTGTTAATAAAAAAAAGGAAGCATCTTATTTTAGACTTCCAGGCAAAGTCTCACAGAACATGTAGGCTACAAATTAAGGGAAAGTTTTTTAACTATAGCCTCATTTGTGCGCATGCCCCAAATGAAGATAAAAGTGATGAGGAGAAAGACTCCTTTTATGATGAATTGGATGAAATATATGGTGAATGTCCAAAAAGGGATTGTAAAATAATCATAGGGGACATGAATGCTAAAGTGGGGAATGAGGATGTATATAGATCGGTTATTGGAAAACACAGCCAAAAACTAAACAAGAGTCGAAAGGACTTTCAACCTAGAACAACCTCATGTAGAGATAAAGAAGGCACGACATTGAGTAGCGATGAAGCAATAGTGGAAAGATGGGCGCAATATTTTGAGGAATTGTTAAATGGTAATGCCCCTGAACAAATGGAAGGTATGATCATAGACCAGAATCAAGGAATTTTTGAGGCCGAAGAGCCAGTGCTGACCAAAAAGAAGTAGAACAAGCTATCAAAAAATTTAAAAATAGTAAAGCTCCAGGAATGGATCTCATCATGGAGGAATTAGTGAAATTTGCAGGCCCAGAATATGCTAAGCACTTACATCGGCTAATAGTTAAGATATGGATAACTGAAATAATCCCAGAGGAATGGAACCCGAGTATTGTATGCTCTATCCATAAGAAAGGTGATGTCATGGTATGCTCTAACTATAGAGGAATTACTCTGTTGTGCATAGCATATAAAATATTTTCCACATTCTATTTAACAGACTCTCTCCCTTTGTGGAAGGCATAATTGGGGATTACAAATGTGAGTTTCATCAAGGAAGATCAAGTAACGATCAGATTTTCACTATTTGCCAGGTCCTTGAAAAGTGTAATGAATTCCAAATTGAAACACATCTTTTCATTGACTTCCAATCAGCCTATGACTCCATAGATATAGTCTTTCTCTGGCAATGGAAGAGATGCACATTCCACGGAAGTTAATCGCCTTAGTCAGAGCCACTATGAGAAAGACACAATGCCAGAATATGTTGTCCAGCCCTATAATAACTAGAAATGGAGTTTGACAAGGGGATTCCCTAGATTGCCTTTTTGTTCAATATAGCATTAGAGAAGGTAGTTAAGAGATGCAGGCATCAACACAAGGGGAACTATATTTTATAAGTCAGTTCAAATTTTGGCATTTGCAGATGATACTGATATAATTGGTAGAACACAAAAATTTATGAAAGAAGCTTTTCTTAAGAAACTTACAAAGCTTTTCTTAAATTGGAAAGAGCAGCAAAAAAGATGAATCTACAAATTAACCAAAATAAAACAAAGTACATACCGGCAACCAAGAAAGACTGTGCTAATGGACCTGCATATATTGAAATTGGCTCATATAAATTTGAGGTTGTATGTAGTTTCACTTACAAAATGATACCAGTGATGAAATAAAAAAGCGTGTACTTGTGGCAAATAAATGTTTCCATGGCCTTAGGAAACACCTGAAATCCCAATTAATACCCAGGAAAACCAAAACTATGATGTATAAAGTACTTATAAGATCAGTGCTATCTTATGCCTCTGAGACCTGGCCACCGTCAAGATCAGATGAAAGACTGTTAACTAAATTTGAAAGTAGGATCCTGAGATATATCTTTGGACCAGTGGAAGAAAATGGAATATGGAGGAAGAGGTATAACCATGAGCTATACAAACTATTTAATGAACCAGACATTATTGGATTTATAAAGGTGAAAAGGCTTGAATGGGCTGGACACATAATACGTGCCAGCGAGAATAGAAGGATTAAGAAAATACTTAACACTAAACCAGAAGGAAATAGGAAAGTGGGAAGACCAAGATTGAGATGGAAAGAATGTGTGTGGCATGACATAAGAATTTTGGGTGTAAAGAACAGGAGGAATGTAGCATCGAATGGAGAAGAATGGCGAGTAATCCTGAGGAAGGCCAGGGCTCACAAAGGGCTGTCGTGCCAATGATGATGAGGATGATCATGTATTCCTAGAACTTGCAAAATATCCTTACCATCCTCATGGTATTCCTAGTATTCTACTGCATTATCATCATAACATCATAGAAAACTAAACTCTCAGCCATATATTTGAGTACATCAAGAAATGTTTAACAAATTCTTCAACAATAGATTTTCTCTTGTAAATTTCAATTGACACCAATCTACCTTTTTCTGTAAGTCTTGTGAATGTCAAGATAATTAAATATTGTGATCTTTCCACAAATGTGTCAAAGGTCAAGTCTGGCTGTGACCTAGTATCAGCGCTTAAACCACTGGACAGACTTTACTTTCATTCTTTTTTTTACTCTTTATTTTTTTATTGGTGAGTGGGACCTTTGACTAAAAGTTGTCAGGCACTTCTGATTTTCACCAATATCAACCTATAATAAAGTCTACTTGATTCAAGGCCATGACTGAATATATACGCTACAAGTAAGAATAATGACCAGCAAAGAACACTGTTGAGAATGCATTAATAGTCTCATAATTTATAACTAAAGAACAGCCTCTTGAAATCTATGGTAGGACTCCTGTTCCTCAGACACTATTTGAATCCTGGGAGATCCAATTCTTAAAAGAAGAAATACAGATACAATTTAGAATGGAAATATTTTGAAGAAACAGTAAATTTCAGAGGGTTGTCATAGTAAAGGGCAATGTGATTCATGCATATTTAGGCTGTAATGCTGTCGCATTTCAACAACCTCAGGGGCACTGCATCACTAATTAAAGAAATGTCACAACAGAGTACATCTGTAATTGATTCTACACACTGCTTTAATAAAGTAATTTTATACCCAAAAATAATAACATCGCCCATATCAGTGATAAAGTTCTTGAGAAACAAATCTGAATAAGCACAGACACTATTCTGAACAGGTCTTCTGCCAAGATACATTTCCCAATGGTGTTTCAAGTCACATCTAATATATTCTTGTATTAATTTCCTAATAGTGTCTACTGTGAAGGTGCCTCATGGCATCAGGCATACATGCATACCACAAATTATTGTATTATTTTCCTGCTGAATAGGCTTAAACTTAAGAAGAGTTATATAAAGACAAAGTCTACTAAAACATATTCCATGGAAATGTGAATTCAAGCAGTCATACAGGTATACTGTTTGTCTTATTACCTACACAGACCTATCAAAGTGTCCACTCGGATTATCCCGTTGGTTACAGATTAGAGCTTGTGACAGAATTTTACTAAACTGTTCTACAAGGGCATCTTCTACGTTCTGAGAAGGAAGAAACCTTCCATTTATTCATAAACCAAAGCACATTCCATGATAAATACTAACTACACTTCTCATATCCACATCCACTCACAAAACAGATATGGCATACTGAAGCATATGACCACTCGTTCACTCAGTCACTCATGAACCACTAAGAAATTTACACTCATGATACATGTTAAAACTCAGCAATTCATTGCTATGGTAACCAGACACTGCACAATTTTACAGCTTTCACTCACTGTTAGTCTATATACACACACACACACACACACACATACACATATCAACATAACACATGTTCTAACCTTCTGACTAATTCCAAGACAAGTTTAAATCAGGGTATTTACATCGATTATACATGTCAAAGCCTGCAGAATGCTATCTTTATTAACTATGGATTTGATAAAAATATAACACATATGAAACTGGGAGCGAGGATAGCTCAGTCAGAATAGTGACTAAGCTACTGGCTGGACAACCAGAGAACAGGGGTTAGATTCCTGACAGGAAGAGAGACTTGTTCTGTATCCAAAGGTACTAACCTACTTGGGATTTATAGAATGTAAATAAATTCAATTCAATTCAATTCAATTCTCTTCTGCACACCATCCAGACCAGCCCCGGGGGCTTCACCTAACATCCTATCCAATGCTACCAGGGACTCTTTATACAATGGCAAAGTAGCCAAGTCATGGAGCTATGTCTCCACATTGCCCTAGGTGTTTGTGGTATGGTGCTTAATTCAGTACACAGAGACAACTTTACTTTAGAAAAAAAATTATATAAACCCATTCTAATTTACAGTAATAATTACAAAATCTGCAATGATGCACTGCCAATTTTTGGTTGAAGAGTTCTATCTTCTGAGTTACATCATTGTGTAGTCTGTTGGAAGTTTTGGAGGAACATGTCCCCTCCATCTTCATGATCAAAGAAGCACAGCTATGCTTGCCACCTGCTTCCATGCTGGTTTCTTGCTTGGCTTATGCCTAAATCCTGAAGTTCCCTCCAAAATGTCAGTTGATTTTCAATGGACTACACAGCATTAGATCCCACAAGTCAGAAATACTTACAACCACCCTTGTGAGAACGTCAAATCTACTTTTTTTAGTTTGTCAAGTAACAATGCTGTCAGCACAAAAAAAAGTGTAAGCACCTGATGATGGTATGAGTGCTGAATTAGAAAGGATCTGGAAGTAAGCAGTCATGGCCTAATGGAGGTACTATACTGGCATTTGCTTGGAGGGACTGAGGAAAACCATGAAAATGCCAGCCAGGCTAGCTGATGCACCTGGCAAGATTCAAAATGAGGACTTTCCACATACAAGACCAGAGTGTTACTGACAGACAAACCTGTTTCATTACACTGAGGTAAGTATACTTACCATAGATGGCATTCGGAGGGGTCTGAAACGAGGAGGAAAGTAATGGGGCCGTGGAGGTTGCACTGTCTGAGATTCCCAATCCATTTTGCTTCTTTGTGGTGATTTGGGAACTGCTCCAAACTTGGGCTTGAAAACTGATCTCTTTGTCGAGTCTCCATCGCTGCATTCCATCTCCAAGCCATTATGCAGCTGAAAAATCCCATGTAATGACTTTTATAAATCACTTAGTGAAATTATCACACTGGCTTGTAAATGAAACCATTTTTCTGCAACGTCTTTATTTTCAATACTGTCATGCATACGGGGTGACATATAAGATTGGTTTTGGACTGGATGATTGGATTTATTGCACCTTGTACATTCACACAACTTCGGACTACTGGCAATGCAGCACTATCTGATCTATACACTCTACGGTTCACTGTTGCATATGCACTAGGGTTCTCAGGCTTCACTAGTTGTATCCTGGCAATGGATATATCAGTCTCACTGCAACTTGAAATCACACATGAAGTCTTCTTTACAATGCCTAATTCCATTTCTTCCCCTTATTCTGAAACTGCCAATTCTGGAGACTCGGCTCAATTCAATTCCAAGTTCAAATCCTGGCATCTTGAAGCTTGACCTTTCACTTCCGACTCGATTACTCTGCGTCTACTACTCTGTTACTACTTGGGTACATCTCGAAGTCAAAGTTACATTGCAACTGACGGTCAGTCAATCAGTCAGTAAGTCTTGGTGTTGAATCCCATCTGGGGCTCACGACCAGATATTTATTACTGTTTGACAGTTATGGTCTTGTTTTTGAGGAGGGTCCTCTCTGACAAAAGGATGGGTCTGTCTTTTGTACATGCTGCTGGCCCTTGCCAGTGCAATTTTCCTCGGTCTGAGTCCCTTCGGACTCGCAACCATATTTTACTGTCTCAGATTAGGGCCTTTCCTTTTCGTTGTCTCTTAAGACTCGCAGGGTCGCAGTGGAGGTCTTTGACCCTGCCTCCACATAGGTGATTGGGTGCATCTTCTGATAGTGTCCTTTTGTAACCCCTTGACACAAACCACACAGAAAACACAGTCTTTATTTTTAAGAAGGAGTGTTTACTGGTCCGTTACATAGCAATGGACATCCTTCTGTTGCATTTACATGCTTTGCCGGCCATTGCTTGCATATGCTTCATGGGAATGTGTTTACTGAGTCACTGCATAGCAATGGTATAACCACCTTCATCAGCGAGGCTTCAAGCCCCACAAGTTGGTCGCCATTTATAACTGCCCCTTCGTTGCCCTTTTGCCTGCGGCTCCATCTGAATAGTAGTGCAAGGAGTGGGAGTCGATGGCAATCGGCCCCTCTGCTCCGATGACCACTTTGAGGCTGCCCTACCTGGTTTTGCCACTGCTGAAGTTGCTAGGTCGTAGCTGGTTTCGGCTTGACCCGGCTGCACCGCTTCTTTCTTCCATTGAAATTATTGGGGGTTGGATTTCATGATGGGATCTGATTGTATGGGCGCCAGCAAACAGCTAGAGACTGTTTACGATTCATAGTAAGGGGGCAGGAGTGAGAATGTGAAAGCTGGCGGTGGGTTTGACTAGACAGTGGAGATGAGTCTCTCTTCAGGTCGGATACGGGTCAGGCTCGGACAAGTGAGGGCGAAGCACCTCTAATCAACACAATTCACTGTACCACCACAACACTTTATTGCTGTTCTTCTTAAAGACACTCGGCTGCGTAAATTCTAACAACTGATTCAGTTTCAGCTGACAGCAGCTGGTGTTACACTTATACAAAAATGCACTTGATCAGCTCAACTTATAACCATCCTCTTATGGATTAAGCTAAATCTCAATATGAGTCGTTATGAGCAAAATTTTGTACTTCGTAGAATTATCTTTTAGCGCCAAGTTTGAAAGTTGATAGACAACTAAAATCTTAGACTGAACTCTCTGCCGAGCCAGAGGTCCTAACTGAGTTGTATCTGCCTATTCTCCTCTCCTCCTAATTTTCCTGATAGGCTGATTCAAATAACAAACAGCGAAAAGAAACCATCATGCTCTAATGTACTCACACAGAAACAATGTTGCAGTGTGGCCAACTGTGACAAATTGCTGGAAGTTCACAAAATCACACTTGTGTTTGGCAAACAACAAAGGTTTGTACATTGACTACAGTACGTATTCCAACTGGTGTCCAGCTTGTTGCCTATATGTGTAAGAAAATATGGCACCTTATACTTCAAAATACACACCACTGTCACTATGGCTGCATATGTAGCCAGATACCGTCCTGAATTTCAGCAGTATGCTGTAACCCATTCTCATACACCATGGACTTTAAATGACTGAAACAGGAAACCTTCAGTGGTGTGAGGTCTGGTGAATGATTCTATCAACAGATACATCATGTACTCGGCAGATGAGAATCATAACAAAGCCCATGATGATGAATATCAAATCAACTCCAAATCAGTGCTATGGTGGGGCCACTTTTTCTGCATAACAAGTTAACAGGAGACTGTTCCCACCACCTCCCAGACACCATGTTGCCAGTGGCTAGATCAGTTTGTCTGATGATGGACTGGTCCAAGAGGACTTGCGGAATGGCCGCCATGTTCTCCAGACCTCACATCCAAGGATATTTCCTGTGGAGTCATTTGACATCCATGGTGTGTGATAACTAGCCACAAAGCATTGCTGAACACCAGGCAATAATCCTGCCCATGTGTGCAGCCACTGCACTGGCAACACTGTGACATGTGATCCAGAATATGGTACCTTATTCATATGTGTGAGCTCCAGGGCAGACACCAGTTAGAAAATTTACTGTAGTGAATGTACAGACATTTCTGATGTTCCATACATGTGTGACTTCATGGACTTCAACATTTTTCCACACTGCAGTGTTGTTTCTACACAAGTGCATTAAAATTCAAAGGTTTGTTTCACTATTTCTCTTTCTTACTGTACCTCTCTCTCCCTCACTACTGCTTCTCCTTGCCCTGGGAACATATCTCCCTTCTGCCATCATGTCACAGTGGCAATACTGCCATAACTTTTTACTAACAATATGTAAAGAATTTAGTGTGTAATGTTAATCCTAGGTTAAAAAGATACAGTATTTGATATAGGAAGAACATAATTTGCAATATCTCCTACTTTTTACATTTTTTGTAGTTTGCCAAATACCTGAGAATTATGGCCTGGGACTTTTGGGACAATAATAAAAAATGCAGTACTTCAATGACTTGGTGACAATTTAATAGTACTGACCATTTTCTGTTTTTCTTTTTTTCCATTTAACCTGGCACACAGGCAAGAGACAGAAAAGGAATCAGGATGATGCAAAATACTACAAAATATTTCAAGGTCAATCAATCAAGAAAATGCCGAAAACCACCGGTCTTACCAGTTGTTCCTGCATATCTTGCGCTGCTGCTGCCTCCTGCATCTTCCGTGCTGCTTGTCCTTGTGATGGTTGAAGTATTTTCAATGGAACCTCCTCCTCATTGCCATATCCTGCAATTACACTCATATCTAATTTGTATTTCCACTGCACTTGAAAACAGAAACAGGTATGTTTCAAAATTTACTTAAGGAAATAAACTTTTTGGAAAACTTAGACACAACTAATTAGACTGTATCTAAAACATCTTGAAGTATGCATCATCATCAGATAGTGACACAAGTTGATACATCATCATCAGAAAGTTACTATGAACCAAAATCCCCATACTTGATTTTTCATCAGTAAAGTTACCTACTCAACATAAGAAATACATTAAAAACATTTTAAATTAGGGTTAGCAGAGAAGCACAAATTAACATGAACAGAACAACCATATCACTGTAAAAGGAACTTTCATGACAAGTGAGGTACAGTTCCTGTAAAAACTTACTGACTCTATGGTAGAGATTCATGGCTAGTCAAGAAATTTCTTCCTGTTACAGATCCCAAATGTCATTAGTGTCAAAAGTTTTGCAGTAAGCTCTATTAACAGCCACTTAATTCCGTTCCACATCTGCAAATCTATTTCTACAAGACTTCTCGATCAAGGTCATGTGACAGAATCCTTATAAAATGCTAATTCACTCAGATGGCAAGACATTCACCACGTTCTCTCTCTTTTTGGTGGACTCTAAGAGCTCATTAGTGTGTTCAAAAGAGCCTGCAACTGGGCCTTATCCTGTGCCACTTATATCCAGTCCACATCATGTATTGATGATAATACATCCTACAGGTGGCGCTGTTGTTTCAAAATGAAACTGCGTGCTTAATTCAACCCTCTACACATCACATATCAACTAATCAGCTTGAAATACTTCTGTGAAAACTGCCACAGCCAAACTGATTGACTCCGTGGTAATTAATTAGCACAACACTTCTGTTGACAGATGGTCTCAGTGTAGAGTACCTATATTTGGAGGAAAGACCACACTTTGACATGGTACATACTGTATGTCCTGGAAGTTACTGTGAAGTTTTCTATGACACTTGGCATCTTTAGCAGGCGGTTCTATGGTGGGGCTTAAAAGTCAATGAGTTAATCATCCTAATAACACTGTGCAAAAACACAAATTATGAAACTCTTCATTTGTAAATCTCTCAGCAACTTCCTTCTTCTTAGACCCTAATATTCCTTTTGGCAACCCTCAACTTCCATTTCTCCCTCCAAGTCAGAGACCAAGTTTCATAACCACGTCAACTCAATAAGAACATATATAAATCATTATGGAAGCTGCAGTAATGACATTGTCACCACAAAAAAAAAAATATTTTCAATAAAATATTTTTGAAAATTTATACAAATGCAAAAAGAAATTAAAGATAAGCTTTTATTTACTGATATCAGGTCGAAGACATCTATGGTTTAATTTGTTCACACACTCAAGGACTCTGCAATCATGTATTTCAAAGCTAAACACTCAATGACTAAAGAATTAAATTTGCATTTTGTTCTTATATGTCAAAATAAGGGGCAGTATGTGAGCATATGTCTTTCACTTACCTATATATTTGACTATGCAAGTCCCTCTGTCATGGAACAAGGCATCTATTGTAGCTTCATAAATAACCCCATCACCACTGTACACTGCACAGCAAGGAGCACCAACCCGCCATTGTAACATACACTGCAGATGAAAAACTTGTCATATTTCAAGTGATCATGCACCTAGCATACAAAATGAACATGTAATGGAACGTCTGAGTCTACCCATCTGCCACAATTTCACCTCTCTAAATTACCACAAAAAAAATGTTGACTCTGTAAGACATATGAAGCCTAATAATCCTGGTGCACTGAAGTGACACTTGCAAGTCTTCTTCCATCTATAAGGCAACAATACCAATATAGATTTAGATGACACTAATCCACATTTAATTCACTAAAATGTTCGTTAAAATGTCTAAAATGTCATTAAAATATTTATACATTCTGTTTTTATGTGCTACATGTTTTGGCCACATAGGGCCATCTTCAGTCAAAAAGTTTTAAGGAAACCACTGCACTGTGCACTTTGTCAAACAGTACTCTTACAGTGCATCAGTGTTATTATTATTAATTCTGGTGTTATAGGATGCCTGTTCTTCCTATCTTTTGTACTGCAGCCGCTCTGTGCCCCATTGGGTGTACTGTTCCCTGGGTTGTGTGAATCTTGTGTTGAGTACACGGAAAACATCTCAACACAAGATACACACAACCAAGGAAGCAGCAATTAAGACCTACATCCATTTCTGCAGAAATCTTGAGCGACTCTGTCTAGACATTTATCAGAGCAAAAAATGTTTTCAATTACAGTTGTTGAGGAAGATCTAAAACTTGAAAATTTCTGTAACTTCTTTGTTATTGAATGCAATGTATGATATACTTTCACAGATTCTCCCACACACTCAAGAAATGTTTGTTGGTGTTGCAATGCTGAAATGAGTAACAATATGGCATCATATTGGTTGGATAAGAAAACCTTTTACTCTGGTGGTTCTTGTGTTGCTGTGAAGAGAAAGTATCACCAAGAAATTTATATCTGTGCTACACTAACGAGACACACTATCTACCAGATTGTTAAGCAGTTTGAAGAAACAGGTTCTGAGTTCACTGACAGCTCAGTCACTTCTGATATTTACCTCAGTATAAGTGATGGATCAGCCCCTTTCCTGACGGTATATGGCATTCCAATGAATTCAGCCTGGTTTCAAAAAGATGGTGACAGACCTCATGCCAGCAATGCTTTACTTTGCTTTCTTCATGACATTTTCAAGGACAGAATCCTGTCAAACCAGCATCCTGTGCCATGTGAAGAACAATATTCATGGCCACCAATCTCACTGGACTTAAACCCTTGTGACTGTTTTCTATGGGGGAATGTTAAGAATAGCGTGTCTCTGACAAATGTGCACACAATTCCAGAACTGAGAACTGTCATCCAATCAGAGACTGTGAAGCCATTTCTAGACAAACTCTAACCAACGTTCTGAACAATTTTCTTCATTTACGTAATATTCATGACCTTCGGGAACATTACAAGGAGAATGTTTAGGTGTAACAAACAAACAAATGTGCAGAAAAACGTGTGAAAGTTTCATATAACCACATTCAATAACAAATGAGTTATACAAATTTTGGAGTGTCAGGTGACAAAAATGCCCTTTGTATTTTGTGTTAGATATACTTTATCCATAATTTTCACAGACTTAAAGATAACTATAAGTATATAAAATGAACTGAATGTATCCAGATTGTTACATTCTGCCCAAATTTATATTATTGTGGTATGTATAATAAAAAAGGTTTGAATGAAGGACTTAATAAATGACACCACTCTCTTTTAAATGCATTTAACACAGTTTAACATTCTGTATTTCAGCATCCTGTTGCAATTGTTTAACTTAACGTCCATGTATTTATCGTCCATCAATACTGCAACACTTGTTTATTCACTACTTAATTTTAATTTAGTTTAACATTATACACTTTGACACTACATGTTTCGACCCAAAACGGCCATCTTCAGGTGTCTTGATATGTTACAAATATTTTATTAAATTATATTAAAACTCTACACTGTCTTAGTCTGTGTTAAAATCACACGCTGTAGTTCTCTTTTCAAGGTAAAACCAGATAAAATCCTTTAAAGTTTCTATCATACCCACGTTATTTTGGTGCATTTTATTTCACCTCACACGGGGTGTCATTAATTGTTCACAAATGTATGTAGTAAAGACAACACCACACGCTGTGGAGGAAACAGGCAAACCAGGGGCATATGACAGTCATAAATGAAAAGTAGGCTACGAACGTGAGGGGCAAGCTGCCAAAATAAAACACCCTGGACAGACATTAAATTAAAATTAAGTAGTGAATAAACAAGTGTTGCAATATTGATGAATGATAAATACATGGACACACAGTTTAACATTTTTAAGATATTTCTGAGAATACACATTTTATTTCCTAATGTATACAGCATTCTTTTCTCAGAAATTTTATGGGATGTCACATTTATGTCTTATATGACAGAAAGCAACAAAGAATGAGGTATTGATAAAGACGGAAACCGCTGCTACTAACATCTCACTTTATTTTGTTCATCACCTAATGCAAAACAGCTTAATTTCATTTATGCATAAATAAATAAATACAAAATGTTGTTGTAATTAATACATTAACTGCCAAAAACCACTTACACTGATTCAATGATAAGGTTTAATACCATCGGCACTGACCTAAGCTGACTTAGCGCACATTTCCATTTGATTTGAATAAAATCACACGACATACAAACACAGGTTCATGAATGGGTCATAGAGGTCACTATGCATTATCAACTGCCTAGTCCTTTCTCTTCTTCTTTTATTTTCCTTCTGTCTATCCTTATCACTCATCGGGCTAAGCCATTCTCGAGAAGCCGATAATTGTGCAGCTACTCAACAATTTCCCAGCATTTTATGGAACCTGAAGGTTCAGTACCGTGTTCACAAGAGCCCTCCACTGTCCCTATCCTGAGCCAGATCAATTCAATCCATAATATCCCATCCAATCTCTCCAAGATCCATTTTACTTTGAGATTTCTTCCACCACTGCTCTGAGCGAACCTGCCCTATACATACTTCTAACATTCCAAGGGCCAAACGTCATATCCATTTTCTTTCACTTAATTTGTTTATCCAAATAATCCATCCAGGTCTGAGGTTTCTTGTGATCTTTCTTAACAAGCTTATTCTTTATGGTGAGGAGCCGTTCGCCCCACGCCCAACCCCCAAGCTGGAGGACAACCCTTTGACGGCTGCCCACGACTGCTCATTCAATATATTTGCAGCTACCCTACATATCTAGAGGTTGTCTCCTCCATCTGCAACCTGAGGACACACCATGCCATAGTGACAAGGGACACACCTAACGTGGGTCTATCCTTATATGCGTTACAAACTTCAGTTTAGCATATGCAACAGTGAGACAGCTCAATGTGCAATATGACACATGCATGAGGTCACATCTGGTCCCTGGTGCACAATATCACATTTGTTTGTGTTCAAATTTCCATTGAAGTGAAATCATGCCAGCAAGAAGATTAGGGATATTAATGGAAGAAGAAATTTACTAAATTAAAATCAACAGCCATTCTGGTACTGAATTTATGTCCAAATCAAGTCAATCAGAATACTGTTAGAAGATAATGAAGAAGGAATTTTAGAATCTTTAGATTACTTTGGTCAGCCAGAATTTTACAAAAATAACCATCATCCCTCCAGCTCACCCTTAATTTTCTGGAACAAACATAAACTGAGTACTCAGAACATTCCTCAGTCCTGACTTCATTCAAATACCTGTCAACAAAAATACATTGTGAGCTCAGAAGCAAGCTGTTGCAGACTTCCAAAACCAGACATAAGATATCAACACAGTGCTAAGCAGTGGCACCTCATAACAACTAGATTACCACTTTTACCAGGACAGTTGGGGTATGCAGTTGCATATTTGGTTAGGCGCCATGCTAAAAGCCGGAAGGTCACTGGATTTTTCGATGACCTAATCCTTCAGGCTGCACTATGGCCCTGGGATCAACTCAGCCTCTAACAGAAATGAGCACCAGCAATCATCCTGGGGTTTAAGGGTTGCCAGTTCATAAGGCTGATCTCACCACCATCTGTGAGTGGACTGTCTACAAAATGTGGGAGCCTCAGTATATCACAACCCTATGGGCCTCCATGGCCTCTTACAGGGACAGCTTTACATCTACATTTTTTCCTTACAAGGATAACTACTGAAGAAGTGTCCAATTTACAGGAACATCAGTGATTCCTTTCATTTTGTATGATGCTATCAGTATCTCAAATTATATAACACTGAATGGTAGGATAACTGACGAGTAATAAACTGCAAAGAATTTGGAAGTATGTGATCATGGCAAGATTGAGGTACTTTCCTGCCATGTCTGGACAGACTAAGGAAACCAAGGAAAAACCTCAGTCAGGATAGCTATGTCCCGCCAAAAAGCTGACTGAACACCTCTCTAATAAAAGTCTATAGCATGACACAGAAGACAAGAGATTAGAGAGAGTGTGAATTGACAGCAAAATGCTATAACCTAGGCCAATCATGACACAATCTCCCAACCTCTACAAACAGTCACTCCCATACTGGGCTTCTCTGTTGGTTTCTTCCTTGGCTTACTCTTCAACTAGGAAGATGCAGGCAAATATGTTCCTCCAAAATATCAGGCTCTCTCCAACTTACAATGCAAAAACTAGTTCTAATTTCTGCATTTTAAAAAATATGATTATTTTCTTCATGCACACTTAAAACCCCAATACTTAACCTCTGCTTCTTAAATGATTATATATCTTACATGCCAGAAAATATGGTACTTAACATTCCAATCAAGATCAATGTAATTAAACAAAACTGTGCAAAGAAACAAAACACAAGGAAAAGTTGTCCCTATGCTTAACTAATTAAGCACTATACCATGAAGATGTATGGGGGAATGGATGTATAGATCCACGTTTTCTTAACCTTCATATTGGTTGGAGGTGAGTGGTCAGCTTCACACCCTGGCCACTTTACCTCCGGGGAAAGAACCCCCAGTGCCCATTGGATAGGAGGCTGAGTGGGCCCCAGACCCGGTCTGGACAATACTGAGAAGAGAAAATTCTTGCCCCCACCGGGACTCAAACTCCGACCCCTTGGTCATCCACCCCATAGCCAATTGCTATACCAACTGTGCTACGCTGGCTCTCAACAAAACATATACAACATTAAAAAACATATCCTTCAGCTACGGGGAGTTAGCCACAGCTGCACACTGACCTCCAGCCAAGAAAACCTAATGAAAACAATATTATAAATAACTTAATGCAATCCGTTACAGCACGTCAAGTGCCTGCACACTCTAACAATTCCAAAGAAGTCTACCTCTTTGTTGTGCCTCTTTTTCCTTCTTCTAGGTTTACTGGATGCACTGCTCTCATTTCCAGATATGCTTCCCTTGTCAAGTCCCATACGACGTGCAACTTCATCCTTTGCCAACGACACAGCACGATCATAAGCCTGCACTAAAGCTGTGTCATCCCAGATATCTTCCTCGGCTGTAGCAGAGTCGCCCTCCTCACCTGGCTTCCCATGTTGATGCTAAGTAATCAAGCATTATTTGCACCATTTTTTGTTCAAATTCAGACATAAGTGGGATTAAACATGAAGGAACTACATGACATGTTGATCATATTCTTGAGCCACTTCAGCACACACTCATATGGAGAAATATAGATATACGTGTATATCCAAATATTAGACAAAATATCTATTTAACTTTGCCAGACAACTACAGGCATTTGGTAGTAAAATCTAAAACACATGAACAGGCATAAGTGACTGATGACTATATTAAGATGATACAAAGTACCAATTACAGGTCCTTAAATTTTGCATGATCGCTACTGCTGTTACTGTCAAGCTGTAAATTGATTTTAGGCTTATCCTCTGTATTTTATCATGTATATAGTAACAAAAATTAATAAATTATAAATATCAAATGTTAGAGCTCAGGTACGTCATTTTATATACAGTCAAACCAACCTATGTTGACTATCTGTTGTTCCACTAAAAGTACCAGACCAAAGTTTCCTGGAGGGACTGAGGAAAACTGAACATGGCCTTAAGTTGAGACAGCTGTTCAGGATCTGAACAGGATACTGAATGCAAAACAGATCCTTTAACCACTGTGCAACTCACAGATCTCCAGCTTCAAAGCACTGAGGGGTTGCATCATACTTTAAGTATCTATCTGTGAGCTGAATTAGAACAAATATATATATTTTTCCCAATATACCAATACAAATACATTCCTGCAATGATCTTATTTATGAAGCATGAGCACACAAATAAGAATTGGAAGCTCAAAAACATTTATTTAAATTAAATGTTACCAAATGATGCTTAAAAATCTGCCATAAAGTTTTGATATTCTAACAATATTGGTGTCATACTAATTCCATAGTATTCTATGTTATTTATTAGATGCTGTTTGAAAAAAAAATTAAAAATTACATCAATCATTTAGTAAGCAATTTTGTTAAAGATTTTTTGTCAAGATTCACCATCTCTTCTAAAGAGGATGGAAAAGTTAACACATATTTTGGGGGCTGACACTCTTGCAGGATACAGAAAACCAACTGGTCAATTTCACAGCCCTAATGTAACTGATAACATACATGCTGGATATCTGACAGCTGTCAAGGCACAGCCTTTGTTTTTGTGCATTCCCTGTTGGCTGCTGCCTTTCCTACTCATTCAGCTGTGGTTATAGTGAGAATACAGCATCAGACAGCAAAGGTTCTGACCCATGTGCAGTACATGCCTTACATATCACTCAAAATTGTATCTACATAAAATGCATAACTCCTAATGAGCGTCACATTCTGGACATGCCAAACACCCACTTTTACACCATGGATAAGATGTAGATTTCCCTAGCCATTGTTTTGTGTGCCCACATGTCCAGTCAAAACAGATCTAAGCTGCTTAATAAGAAGTTAACCTAGGATCAAGTTCATGGTCATTAACTGACCGAAGATACCGTATTTACGCATGTATAGGCCGCATGCGTGTATAGGCCACAGCACAATTTTCAGACAGAAATTATAGTAAAAATAATTTTCTTGGAATATTATTTCAGGAGTATTACACCCTGTATTACTAATTATGAATATAATTTTTTTTAAATGAAGTGTGATTTTGAATGTTTCGAATATAAGCCGCACCCCAGTTTTCCTCTTGAATTTTTGGCAAAAAAATGTGCGGCCTATACATGCGTAAATACGGTATTAGTCACAAGAATTACTGGACCACACAGCTGGAAAGTGTGCCCAAATGTGATTCTATGTATAAAGCTGCAGTTTCAATAACTTTGTAATTGTTTTCTTGCTCTTTTTTCATCCTTCAGTTTTATGTGCAAGGCATGTAAGAAACTTACAATGCAATTGTTCAACTGGTTTCTTATCTTCTAACATTCCAGCTGTTATTGTTTTACTGACAACATTCCATACACCATTTCCATTGGAAACTTCAATCCTAAGAAACTTTCTTCAAATTTCCTTTGATACTTCACAGTAGCCTTACATTCTGGTAAAATTTAAATGAAACACTTGAGGCTATAGTTTTAACTTACCAGTACCCAACACGAAACAAATCCTGTGAGAAGTGCAACAAAAGTGCTGCAAATATGCCCTTACAGAACCACAGATGTGCATGGTTTACTGCCATGTTACCTGGTAATTTCAGTAACTGAAATCTTCAATCAGTTCATCATGATGAGCCTGATTCTAAGCTCTCTTTTTCAGATGAGACTCAGTGTTACTTATACATGTTAACATAAAAAACAACAGATATTGCAGGACAGAAAATCCACATCTTACATGTATATTCTACTCAATATTGTGAAGGCTGGCATTTGGAATGCCAAGAGTGAGAGAAAAACTATGGGTCCTGAGTTATATGCAGACAGAATTCTGAGAGATATGTAACATACATATTCCAAGTGGGCCAATAACCTTCACTCTATGATGTTTCTGCAGTCTATCACTGCAGCTGATCAAGGACAAAAGGCACAGTCAAAGGAGTCAGCATATACAGCTGTAAGGGTGTGCTCAAAACAGTCCACATGCAGGAATAAAGAAATAGTAGAGAACTGAAAAAATGTAAGTATACAAGAAGTAACACATTTGCATGCCGAAATAAAGCACTGCATTCTGCGGAAAATATGTAACTATTGCTACCGACTGAAAGCATCAGTCACCAATAACTCCTGACCACGAAAGTAAGAGCTGCATGGTAACTTAAACTCAATGAATACGTTTAAATTCTAATATCCTGCATCAGTTTCTCATCTGAAGCAAATGGCCTGTTGCTCGAAAGGGGCATTAATGAGGTGGTTCAAAAGATGTCAGAACCCTAACCTGTAAATTGCTTTTACATTTTAAATCTGCACAGCTGATAGTATTTAATCATGATAATCTTAAAAATGTAAGCTTACAAAACCTTGGACTTTATTTGGACAGTCCATGCAAATTGATAGAGTACCGAAAACTTGGAAACAACTGTTGATCTATAGAGTGAATAAACACTCGATAAATAAATTGTAGAATTTCCATAAAGAAGTTTAATTTTACACGAGTCGTGGCCCTATCAATGAGGTTAGACTGTTTTACATAGATACTCCAAACTATCACCCATACACATGAAGAAAAGATTACTAAATTTTAATTAGTTACGTTACATCAATTCGTACGCCTTTTCTAATAGGTTATGTTACACCGTTAACTTACGTCTGACTTTCCACCTCGGATGAATAATACCTGTCCCTCAGCCATTTTTAACTCGTCATAATTCTTTTATGTACATATACCTACTAAAAACTGTAACAAACAATTTTTCTTAATTAAACTTTAGCTATTTGCGTTTCAAACGATATAACACAAACATCTAACGCATTCATCCACATCTACTCTCCGGGTCCTGGACGTCTTGGAGTTCAAAATTTGAATATGTCGCTCACTGGCGCTCTCTATTAGCTGACACCCTCACGTTATGCTGCCATCTAAGTTCATCTACATGTACGACTGGGGACACCGCCGCCAATAGTTCAGTCAGTACCTTCCAATTACCTCATCCCCCCATATCCGGCCCACTTTACAACTTAGCAATCAGTACTTTGCTAACCTGGTCCCTTGTACTGCACACGAACGTTAACCCATTTTTACAAATGAATGTGAAACGGTTTAACCAATATCACTGCTTCTCATCAGTTCCTGTAAAGTACAAATTTTTCATTTACATCAACCCAAAACTCCCTTACTGTAATAAACTTTGCCATTCTAAATTACATTATAAACCGAGAAATTTAATATTCATCAGTGTTATGAGCAACTGAAGGTGTGTGTGAACTTCAATGACAACTGTGTTTCCATCACATATATTTGTATTCAACTTCATAACTTTATTGTTAACAAATTCTATCAGTGACATTGGTTGAATATTCTATTAAAAATCCTAGTAATTCATATTCTAAAACGCATTTTTGATTATGTATCAACAATTAATTATCTGCCAGTTTCTCATATACTCATGCATACAATATGAATTAACAGTTCACATCCTGTACCTCTTATAGAAGAAATGAACATATCCCATAAAATCAAAGTCTTTATTCATGTCAAAACCTCATAAAAGTATAGTAATTCAGTAATAATATCAAATTTTGTGTAATGCTAGCTGCTTTCGCAACAATTACATAAGCATTAAATGAGCAAAACATTGTATTTCTAAAACCAATGGTGTTATCTGGATCATACTGAAATTACATGGAATTCATATAAGAAGCTACTAAATTACATAAAATTGTGTTACAGCTAGAGTTATGCAAGTTCAAAAAATATAACTGATCAAATTACTCCTGAAGAAATAACACACCTTCCAGTTACATACCACATACCAATCAAATGAAAATTCAAGGGAAAGGCAATCACTGTTTCCCCTGTGTACAGTACAATTCTCACCTCCTTTTTCTTAATCCTGGGCTCAGTTATGATTTCTTGACTACAATGTTGCATATTGGTGAAGTTTCACATTATTACAATATAAAACGTCCAAGCATGGCTTCAATTAACATCATCTTTCAAGATTATGGGTGTTACTGTGATAACCTTATACACAGTGACCATATATTTCATTTTCTCTGGAACAATCTGGTTGATTTATATTCTGCCATTACTGGTGCTTGCATTACTGTCAATATGCTTTCCATTTCAATGTGGCATAGTTCACATATCTGGGAACGACAATAACAAATCAAAACTCGATTCAGGAGGAAATTAAGAGAAGACTGAACTCAGGTAATGTTTGCTTCCATTCAGTCCAGAACCTTTTGTCTTCCCGTCTGCAAAAACATAGAAATTAGAATATACAAAACTATAATTTTGCCTGTGGTACTTTATGGGTGTGAAACTTGGTCTCTGACATTAAGGGAGGAACATAGACTGAGGGTGTTTGAGGAGAATATTTGGACCAAAGAGAGATGAAGTGACAGGAGGTTGGAGAAAACTGCATAATGAGGAGCTTCATAACTTGCACTCTTCTCCAAGTATAATTAGAATGATCAAGTCAAGGAGGATATGGTGGGTAGGGCATGCAGCAGGAATGGGGGAGAAGAGGAATGCATATAGGATATTGGTGGGAAAGCAAGAAGGAAAGAGACCACTGGGAAGACCAAGGTGCAGGTGGGTGGACAAAATTAAAATTGATCTTAGAGAGATCGGATTGATCTGGCGCATAATACAGACAAGTGGAAGGCTCTTGTGAACATGGTAATGAACCTTCAGGTTCCATAAAATGCTGGGAAATTCTTGAGTAACTGCACAGTTGGCAGCTTCTTAAGAAGGGCTCTGCTCCATGAGTGTGAGAGTGAGTAATGCTTTCCATTTCAATCCAGCAAAGGTGATGGACCCTCAGAATTAGGCATGTGCAGGCCTTGAACTTCTGAGATCAAATCAAGAAAGAAAATTTCTTGGTTTCAATTTGAACTTCAGTACCCCAGTCAAAAACTTTTTTGAGTTTTCATGTTAACCGATTCTGAACAGTTATGTCTTCCGCATTATAACACATAGTCTGTTGAAAGTCAACCAACATTTCAGAGAACATGTAACCTCCATTCTCACCGTCAAAAAATAAGCCAAGCAAGAAACCGGCATGAAGCTGGTAGAAGGAGAGCTTCCTCTTAAGTGTCACCTGGTTTTCAATGTATTACATGGCATTATATAGAGCTCTTCTTAACAACCACTGCGAGAACCTCAAATCCTAATTGATTTTGCTTTAAGCTTCAGAATATTAACTGCTGGCAGTGTTAGCAGGAATCAACATGTCAACAGAATATATCTCTCTCCCTCTTTCTCCCCACATGGCATATCTGTTGTCACGAAGCAGTCAGACCAAATAGAAAGGAGTGCCACAGAGCTTTGGTTGCTGCCTGCTGGTTACTCACTTGACTTACCATCTCACACTGAAGATGTAGTAGTACATTCCTTAAAAAAAAAAAACATCGGTGGACTTCTATCAGACTACATAGCATTAAATATCAGAAGACAACAACCTTCATGGGCTCTGTTTGTTCTTGTAATGAAATATGAGGCATAGCTGGTCTGTCTAGAGCCATGTCACCTTACATTCTCAGCAGAAATGTGTTCATATTTTCTGGTCAGGAGACTGCCTTTCGGAAAGCACAGGTTTCTGTGCCATGGAACCTACAGTCTTTACCTTTCACCAGTGCAATGGTACACCTAGAACAATGGACAGGTCATGTCCTATCAGAGGCATTTGCAAACCCAGATCGATCTAGAGGTTTCAGAAGAGTTGGTGTTTAAAAGAAGGTGAGAAAGCTTAACTGTCAAGTGATCATGGGATCTCATAGGAAAGGTAGTGTTGTCTCGACATTAGAATAATTAAATTTAAAGTCTACCACATCAATGTAAACAGTTATTTATTCATGGCGTTAACAATTCTGAACCATGATGTCATTAAAATAGTGCTTGAAAAATATGATCAAAGTCATGTATGAGAAAATCATCTCATCTTTAGACTGTAGACATAATGATTATGAATGAAAGAATCCAGGATAATGACACATTTTCTTTTATCAGCTTCAAGCTAAAATGGATTTATGACTGCTAGATACAAATTTACATCCCACTACTTCACGTACATTGTTTCCTGCGTCTTAACATGTATTCCAAATGTCATCCCATCCTTGGAGATCCTGTCTTCCAACTACCTATACTGAGATGCCATTCATTTTAATAGATATATCTTCGAGCATAGCAGAACAAGACAGAGTCACATCAAACCCAAAATTGCAAAACCACTTGCAGCATCTTAAATATGACACTTCTGCCACAAAAATACTGGACAGCATTTCTCCTAATTAGGAAACTGCTAAGGCACAGAACGTTTTTCATGCACCATTAAGACACTGTGTTGCTTGATCTTCTTGATGTTAACTAATCATCGAACTTAATCTTTTTGCCTTGGAATGCAAACACTGCACACTGCTGCTCCTTCAACTTTTTCTTTGCTTCCCATGATGGATGAATGGGACTGTTATTATCTGCAACAGAAAATGTGTAAGCTTCTATAAATCTTTGATTCTCCCATTTTCAACTCACACATGAAGAGAGTGCAACAAATGGAAAGTTTCTAAGTGGGTGTTCCTTATTCAGGTTTAGTGGAGAATATTTCTGTCCTGAACATCCAGCATTATAACGCACGCAGCCAAAGGAGGAGGACACATCACAAGACACAGTATACACAAAATATAGGAAGAATGACTCCCATAGTGGAAGAATAATATAATACGCGAGTTTGAAATAAGACGTATAAGATGATAAATCTTAACGAATTTTAATATATATAAATTTTATTATAGTATTTTGAATTGTTTCATTTTTGGTCCGTTACACTATCAATCACAGAGTTAGTAGAGTGTCCGTCGAGTGTAACAATTTGTAGGTCACTTTTTTAATATCACTTCTGCCTTACATGTTTCGGTTTGATACAACCATCATCAGAGGCACTTGCTATAACTATGGAAACACTGTCGTTGTTTATGATGTTCACAGTTATGTTTGTCGTGTAGACGCTGCTACAATATGCTGACGTGTAAAAGCACAAAACTTACTAAGATAGTTGAGTACACTATCAAGTTCTCACTTTT